ATTTTTCAAGAAAATTTGAAAATAGTGACGTCACTGCAACAGCAAATCAGCTTATTGTTACTTTTAAGTAACAATAAGCTGATTTGCTGTTGCAGTGACGTCACTATTTTCAAATGTCACTGATTATATCACTCTTCAATTCCCTGACCCTCAAAATGTCAAATTAATTACTTGGAATCTCATCACAACGCTTTACGACCTTATTTTCTACAATTAATTACTGTACGAACTTGGTAGTATATTGTGACGTCATTATTACGTCATAAAGTACCCTTCCTGTCATCTGATTTTTTACATCCTACCCTATTTTTGATCGTAACACATTGCCAAAGCATTGGTGAAAAAATGGTGCTTTTAAATACCATGTAACGATCCTTAGCATTTTTGTTACAAATGTAGTTCGCTATAAGATGCCTCACTTTTCCGCTTATCTTTGGAACAAGTTTAAACATATTTATGATACTAATAATCAATTACAAAAACTCTGGCATAGAATTTGAACTTTTCTCTCTAACTTAAAAACAACATCTCACAATACCACATACTGTTTGCATGTTTAAACAAAGTGTCAATGTGACTACCCAAAATCCATGATTTTAGCCTAAAAACATGTCTTTTGACCAAAAAAGTTTTTTTTTGACCCACAAAATCACCCTCAACTATATTCCACCCCCATGACACACCACTCAAATGAAAGAGCTTGCTGTCCCCTTTAATTTGATACCACATTTGTTGTTGTAATGCTTGTAGTTCTGAAGATTATTATTAATTTATATTTTTTTCATGTAATTATTAGCTGATGACGTCATAATGACGTCATACATGCTCTTCCCATCATCCAATTTTTTGCGTCCGTCTTTTTTTCGAAAAGGTATACCATGGAGATGCTTTGGTGAAAAAATGGTGCTTTTGTCCACTGTGTCACGATTTTTTCACTAAGGTACCTCACTATAACATTTCGAAATTAATGACAAAGAACACACTCTGTGATATCTGCAACGCATATAGGACTGATGCTTGAGATTTGGGGGGCCCGTTGGCGACAATTGTATAAATTCGAGGAGCTTTTTTAAGTACCATTTATTTTATAAATTCCATCTTATGAATACCGGGTCATTGTCACGCGAACCCGGATACGAATACAATGCCAGCAGCATGCCTAATCCTTCAACTTGCCAAAATCCATTATCGGCACTGGCCATTGTTGATGATTTTGCCTGTATTTGCCTCGGCATTCTAGGTCGAAGGTTGTTTTGGGGGACACCCAGGCAAACTATGTCGTCTGCTTCACTTGTAAATATAGTTTTGTCACTGAAACCAGATCAGTAATGTTTGAAATCGGAGGATATGCTGTGATCGTTAGTCATTGGGAATATTTTGTGCCGCCAATCATTCCTCTGTACTTACTTCGTGTTCAAGTTTTTCACCATCTTTAATCTTCCTATAATATCAACGACACTGCCACTGACGTCACACTTGGACACTATCAAGATAGGGCAATCTCTGCGTTATGCACATTCATGATGTCCAGGACTTTAGAGAATTGGTTATAATATTATAACAAGGAATAATGGTTGGCAGCTCATTCGTGGACTGGTTGAAAGTGGTCCGGACTTCCAACCAGCTGATCTGAGTTCGAATCTCAGTGAGCGTTTTTCACTTCTTCTCATTTTACCTTTTAATTAACTAATGTGAGGAAGGAACATTACAAGACGTAGGCTAAAGCCTATGTTGGGTTTGTGTTGTGGAGAACGAGGCATTAGATATGCATGTGATGTACCAATCAGAAGATGGGAAGCGGATGTCGTTTGGGGGGAAAAAGATTCGCACCCGGGCAGCCACCATGCAGAGACCCGCTCACTAAAGCTGGGGCATTGGTGGTTGACACTGGGGCAGACACTAGTTTATGAAATAGACCATTGCGAATGCCATGGTCTACGATATGTGAACAGATTCGCTGATTAATTAGGCAAAACAACCGCCTCTTGACCTCTAAATTTTGACCAATAAGCGGGCCCTTTCTATATCGGGTCTTCGGTCATTCACATTGCGCGTCATAGACAGTGGATAACAAACAACCCGTGTAACGCACTCTGTATCATTTTACGCAATATGCGCCCGGCTGTTGTTGCATTACGAAACACTGCATTCGAATTGACCAATCAAACCATTTCGTCCTGATTTGGGAATGAAATGACGTCACAATTTAGTAAAGTCGACTCTGATTGGCTGGCGCGTGGCTTGCATAAATCTGCATGTCTAGACATATCAGACGTTATACTTGCTCGTACCCCCGCCCTGCAAACAGGACAGGGCGGGGGTACAAGCGAAACGTTATACAGGAGGATTGGCTCCGTGGATAACGGGCGATACTCAAACTAAGCAGACACGAGGATCACGTGATGGCTAATTGAACGCTCTCGTGATGCAAGTTTCGCTTACACACTCTAAAAACAACTTAGTCAAAATATTGACTAGTTTTCCCAGTTATTGGAAATTGAATAGGAATTTAGTTAAACATGCAAAGTTCAATACTATGACTAGAAACGTAGTTGGGTTCGACTCCAATTTCAGTTATTTGCCTAACTACTTTTCCAAAGTCAATAATACTGACTGGAAAAATCTAGTCAGATTGACTGATTTTCAGTTGCACCCAGCTGACCCTGAATGGCTAGTCCAATTTGACTGGTTTCTAGTCAAATCTGACTAATGCTTTTTTAGAGTGCACAATGTTTGAGGTAATCAAACGCACCCATTACAACATCGTTACGACTCCTACAAGCAATTTGATTGATGTAACGACATTACAGGATTTTCTGTCACCGAAGCATTATGTTGGTCCAATATGCCTACACTGAGGGGCGTTCATGATGAACTTGCTACGCTTTTAAAAGTGCGCTTGTTGTTTGTGCCCTTAGGGCCGCCACGTTGAACCAAAATCATCTAGTAACCTCCCAGGAGCAGAGAGTGCGGTGCGTCCAAAGCAGAGAATGCGGTGCTGCGCTCTTTGTTAACCGAACAAAGACGGGAAAGTGCAGCCGTGCAGTCACCAGCGCTATACCAATTTATTTGTTGCCTATAATAGTAGGCTATTATACCGTCCAAAAAGTTGTTCAAGACATACATCAAATAAAACTGTGCTTTTTGCTCTTTCACATACTTGGTTTTTTTTTCCCCGGGGGTTGGGGGAGGTTAACCGATGACTTATGGGTGATTTATCATTTCGCAGTCGATCAGCCACGAAAACAGTTCAAAAGCCCATCGCCGTGAATTTTGATCCCTCCATTCCATTGCAAGAAACAACGACTTTGGTCCCACTTCATCCCAAATCTCAACGAAATACAGGCTGAGTAAAAAAAAAAAAAAACGAAACCCAAATGTCGGGCCAATTGTTTTAGTGAAGTTCTGCATGTAGCACTTTTCAAATCTATAGGATATGAAAGCCACATTAATAAGCTTTCTTTTAGTACAAGAATTATTCAAATCACCTATGTACTTTTCAAGTTACGGAGTTTTAAACACATCCGCCGTTTTAAGGTTCTGCATGTCCACGGATCACAAAAAAAGGTCAGTGTTCTTTCAGCAAAACGAAACAAATCACATAAGGAGGTGTGTATTTTGTTTTCGTTTTGCTGAAAGAACACACCTTTTTTTGTGATCCGTGGACAGAACTTTAAAACGGTGTTTTTTATGGTTCTTGTACTAAAAGAAAGCTTAGAATTGGGCTTTCATATCCTAAAAGTGCTACATGCAGAACTTCACTAAAACAATGGGCCCGACATTTGGGTTTCGACATCAGTTTATAGTTTGGGCCCTTCAATTGTGTTTACAAACCCTTGAGCTTATTTAAACCTCGTGATGCAGTAATAACATGTTAGTTCGACGTGGTGGGTATGCATTTCTTTCTGATTTTTTCTTCCAATTCTCATATTGCGAAATCGACCATCCGTCATTACCCACACATGGAAATAAACTAAAATAATAAATCGGAATCCAATCACATTCAAACTGGCTACCTATCGCTGAATTAATGGTAAACTTTCCTATTGAAAGTACTTCAACTGAGAAAAAGGCAATATTGCATAGCTTTTTTTTTCACACGCTGCATATGTCGATTAGTCATGGTCAGGTCCTCCGTCTTTTTTGAAATTCGTTTTTCATGTTAATCCGGCCAGTAAACAACTTACAGTAACTTTATTCGTTTGTTCATCGTATAATTTTGTTCGAAACGATTTCACATTTCATTTTTTGTCCCCATGGATAGTAGGCCTACAGAAAGTTACCCAATTTGAAATATATTTTGAAAATATTTGGCTTGCTCAATTTCACAAAAAAACAACAACATAGGCCTAGGGATAAAGTACACCTTATTGATTTTCAAATGTGAAAATTTCACGTAATTTGCATACTCTATTCCCAAGTTATAACTATTTTAATAAACAAATCTGTAATCCTCATCCAGCTCAGTAGCTTCTAAAATGGTATTCCACGAACAGCTTTAAAAATTGTTTCTTTTAGCAAAACGTTTATTTAACCCTAAACGAGCGAATCCGCCCCCCCCCCAACTTTTTCTGCGTTACCCTTGAAAAAACAAATTCGCTACCCGAGCTGTTCTGAATTTCTAGCCTCGAGTCTTGCGCATCTTTTGATACCACAAACATAAAATTCGGACAACGAACAATTTTCCGGCGTGAAAACTGAATTTCTCCATATACGTTTAATATACAAAGCAGAATTACCATTCGTGCATTTGATTAATTAATTAGCCATAATTCCCAGACCCTTTGACCTATAGTCATGAGATGGTCAAAATAGCCCGGCCCTTTTAGGGTCAATACTCCCGATAGCATGGATCAATTTTAGGCTTTTTTGTTTTACATGAATGGAAGAAGATGCTCTTTTCAGATATGCTTCAATGGGGTTTCAAATTTGATTGCCTTTTAAGAAAAAAAAAAACCCGTTAATTTGATTAACTTTTTTTTTTTACTCGCTCTTTACAGTTACTCTTGAAGCGATTCTGCCAATCAGCGATTATTTCAAGGGTTTTCTTGTCATCGTGGATAACACGCCAAGAACAATAGGCCCTCAAGGAGAATTTTTTAACGTTAGTGAAGGAACTCAGGCCCTTGACTGCTCAAATAGCACACAGGTAAGCATCTATTATTTTCTTTTTCAGTTTAACGTACCAAACAAATTCCGTGCCTATATGGCAGGGCCAAGTTTTGCTTGTATATTTTCATGTACCTTTAGTGTATTAAATAGGAGTAGCTCCCCTTAGAAAACGAACATTATTTTAGTTTAAGTTTAGATCCCTCCCCCCTTCTTAGCGGTGTGCCCCTGGTATGGTTCTTTATTTAAGCCCAAGCTTCCCTTTGTAATGCTGCCACATGGTCAAGCCACCCTTTACTTTAGTTCAGCCAGCAGACCAGCGAGTCAACTTCATAGTACATGTATATTTCCCCCTACCTGGAGAGTGTCTTTCTGCTTGGGTTTGTCTGCTTGTAGAGTCAATTGATTTTCGTCAAAAGTGTATTCTAATAACCGAGATTCAATTTTGAATTGATTGTAATAACGTGAGATGGCATCACAATATTTTTGGCGAGCTGCGAAGCAGATGCGAGCCTATGTAATACCAATTTCCGTCCGTCTGTCCGGGCGCCCGTCCGCCCGGCCGTCCGTCCGTCCGTCCGGACGTCCGCCCGTTCTGACCATACCACCCTTGTGGGGTGATGTTCCTTTCAGGACACATCACCCCACTTTTTACACAATAGAAAAACATCACCCCAGAAGGGAATCTTTAGAAAAAGGGATAATGGGAACACAATGCTATCACCCCACTATTCCGTCTGGCTAGAATGTCCGTCCGTCCGTCCGGCCGGCCGGCCGCGTTCAGATAAAAATGTTGAAGTTTTTGGTTCTAGTTAACTTGGGGAAAAAATTAAATGCAGTTGTCATGTATCATCTCTATAACTTCAGTTAGGTTCATATCATTGCAGTAAATTTTACGATTTTATTGAGGAACTTTAATTCAAGGAAATGTTAAATTTTTTAATTGTTACATGTACATGTACACTGGTATAACATGTACATGTATGTATACAGGTATAACATGTACATTTACACTATGCATTTTGGGGATGTGCATGAGCTTCTGGTTTGATCTTTTAGTTTATGGGGTTGGAGTAGGGATGGGGTAGGGGAGGGTGGGTTGGGGGATAGGGTTGGAGATAGGGTTTGTGTGAGTAGGATGAGTAGGGGAGCTAGGATGGGTGAGGCAGGGTGGGTTGCGGTGGGTTGGGGTGGGGAGAGGGGTTGGAATACTGGGTTTGGGTGGGGTGGGGATTTGTAGGGGTGGGGTGGGAACAGGTAGGAAGAGACAGGTAGGGGGAGACAGGTAGGGAGAGGATGAGCATGGATATAGGGGTTGGGTTAGGAGGGGGTTGGGCAGGGGGCGGGATATAGGATCAGAGTAGGGGTTGGGTTGGGGATATGTAGGGATGGGTAGGGATGGGTTGTTGTAGGGGTTGGATAAGGGAAGGGGGCAGTATATAGGGATCAGAGTAGGGGTTGCATAGGGTCAGGTGGGGATGTATGGGTGGGGGAATGGGGTGGGCGGGATATTTGAATTCGAGTAAGGGTTAGGGTGGGGATGTGTAGGGTGGGTAAGGACAGATAGGGGAAGATAGGGTAGGTGGGTGTAGGGGGTTGTGGTAGGGGAGGGTACGGGTCAGGGGAGGGGGAAGGAGATAGGGATTGGAGTTTGGGTGGGGTTGGGATGTGTAGGTGATAGGGTGGGGATGGTTAGGGGAGGATGGAATGGGTGTGGGTAGGGGGTTGGGTGGGGGAGGGGGAGGGGGCGGGCTGGGGATGGGGTAAGGTTTTGGGATGGGGTAAGGTTTGGGGGGAGGTGGTGATGGTGCTGTGTCTACGTGTACATGTATACCCATTCTTGTTCTGCATTTGTGGCGACTATACACAAGAGTTTTCCCATGTTAATACAAGTATGGGGAGCAGAAGACACTGTTGGGGCTGCAAAAATCCACAACTGGGTCCTAATTACCCTAAAAATGGAAAACTCCCCCATAATACAGTGACGGCTAACCTATATACACATGTATTTATTAGGTTGTAGCGTTCTCTAAAGTGGACTTATGAACACTTCAGCAAATAAAACTGTTTGCACTGATTTTCTTGGGCCGTAGCCGGCCCAATGACTACCGTCGTCCTGACCGGAGCTCATCTCGTGATACCCCCGGAGAGTGTTGGTACCACTGGAAATTTGGTGCCAACGCACACAAATGCCAACAGCCATGTTCGTACACCGCAGGTGCCAACCAGGGAAACGACCAAGCCGGCAATTAGGGGCGACAAGTTTTGCTGGCCGACCATCAAGTCGCTTATTCTATGTCACAGACCGCACAACAAACCAACAATTTCTCGTCGATACGGGAGCGGAGGTGAGTGTCATTCCTCCTTCCTCTCATGAGCGCACTCATCGGTGTCATGGTCGGGATCTCCAGGCAGCAAATTCGTCGAGTATTGCTACCTACGGTGAAAGATCCTTGACACTTGACATTAGACTCCGGCGGCCTTGCCGCTGGGTGTTTGTTGTCGCCGATGTTCAGCATTATATCATAGGCGCTGATTTCCTCCGACACTTTCTGGTCGATGTTCGCAACCGCAGGCTAATTGATGCCACGACAAATTTAGGCATTAAAGGAACAGCCACTAATGCGCCGTCACTAAGTCCGGTCCTCGCGACACCAACCCCATCGCGTTTTGCGGATATTTTGAAGGACTACCCGGACATTATTCGACCTGTCTATAGTGAAACTCCGGTTAAGCATAATGTGACACACCACATTGTCACAACTGGACCGCCCATTGCAGCACGTCCACGTCGTCTCGCACCCGACCTCCTCAAAGTGGCTAAAGACGAATTTCAACATATGATGGACTTGGGCATCGTGCGCCCTTCAAGTAGTAACTACTCCTCCCCACTCCACATGGTCCCCCAAAAGCAACCTGGAGATTGGCGACCATGCGGGGACTATCGGGCACTGAACCAGTCCACTGTGCCAGACCGGTATCCAGTCCCCCACATCCAAGATTTCACAGCAACACTTCACGGTGGAACAATATTTTCCAAGATCGACCTTGTTCGAGCGTACCATCAAATTCCAATGGCGCAGGACGACATCGCGAAAACTGCCATCACCACTCCATTCGGACTCTTTGAATTTGTTCGTATGCCATTTGGACTACGCAACGCCGCTCAGACATTTCAACGTTTTATAGATGAGGTCACACGCAGACTTGACTTTTGTTACGCATACATTGACGACCTTTTAGTGGAACAACATGCACAGCATCTTCGTCTTCTGTTCGATCGCCTTAACCAGTACGGGGTGATCATCAACCCTGCGAAATGTCAATTTGGAGTGAACACACTTGAGTTCCTCGGACACCAAGTCGACAGCCACGGGGTACGTCCACTCGCAGAAAAGGTCAGTGCAATCTTGAACTTTCCACAACCCACTACACTGACAAAGCTAAGAGAGTTTCTTGGACTTGTTAATTTCTACCGCCGTTTCATCCCACGGTGCTCTCAGGTCCTCCATCCTCTCACAGCTCTGCTGGCTAACACTGGAAAAAAAGTCAGCACCAGTCACGTTCAATGATGCAGCTACAGCCTCATTTGAAGAAATCAAAGCTGCTCTCGCAAACGCTACCCTCCTCACACATCCCAAGCCAGATGCTCCACTGAGCGTCATGACGGATGCTTCGGATGTTGCAGTCGGAGCTGTTCTTCAACAATGGGTAGATGATTCATGGCAGCCAATCTCATTCTTCTCCAAAAAGCTCCAACCAGCTGAAACGCGCTACAGCACCTTTGGACGAGAACTCTTAGCTGTGTATCTCGCCATTCGCCATTTTCGCCACCAACTCGAGGGCCGTGTGTTCCACGTGCTAACGGACCACAAACCCCTCACCTACGCTCTCTCATCATCAACGGACAGACATTCCCCACGTGAAATTCGACACCTCGATTTCATTTCCCAATTCACTTGTGACATCCGATTCATAAAGGGGGTGGACAACCCTGCAGCAGATGCCTTGTCTCGCGTTGAACTTAACTCGATACACGGAGCAGTCAAACATCATAGATTTCCGCAGAATGGCAGAGTTACAGACCGCCAGTGAGGAACTCACGCGACTGCGCGCATCGCCATCCTCGCTCACATTCAAAGATGTTCCTATCCCATCATGTGACACAACATTAACCTGTGACATTTCTACTGGAAACCCACGCCCATTTGTTCCAGTGGAATTACGCCGGGAAGTGTTTGACTCGCTACATTCGTTGTCTCACCCTGGAATTCGAGCCACCCAACGCCTCATCACGGATCGCTATGTTTGGCGCAGTATTAACCGTGATGTGCGACATTGGGCAAAGTCATGCTTACAATGTCAGCGCGCAAAGGTCCATCGTCATACCTTTGCCCCTCTTTCTCAGTTTGCTGCACCAGATGCCAGATTTTCACATGTTCACATTGACATTGTGGGTCCATTACCACCTTCTAATGGATGCACATACATGCTGACCTGCATCGATCGCTTCACGTGTTGGCCAGAAGCCATTCCATTGACTGACATCACCGCAGAAACAGTTGCCCGTGCTTTTGTCACGCGATGGATTGCCATGTTTGGTGTTCCATCGACTATCACCACCGCTCGTGGAACTCAGTTTGAATCAGCACTTTTCCGTGCCTTGACCAACCTGCTTGGTACACAGCGCGTACGCACAACAGCTTATCACCCCATTGCAGATGGCCTAGTGGAACGTTTCCACAGGCAATTGAAATCGTCACTAAAGGCACAAATCAATCCAAACAAATGGACAGAGACTTCACCACTCGTCCTCCTTGGAATTCGGACTGCGGTCAAGTCAGATTTTGGTCACAGTGTTGCCGAGCGTGTTTACGGCACCACTCTTCGCTTGCCCGGCGAATTTTTCGACACGACCACGGAAGAGGCTCAGTTAGATCCCACCGCCTACGTCCATCGTTTGCAACGCATGATGCAACGTCTCCAACCACCTCCAAGCCGTTTTCAGCAACGAACTAACATTCATGTCCCCAACGATCTACAGACATGCACCCATGTTTTTGTTCGTCGTGATGCGGTCCGCAAACCTCTTCAACCCCCCTATGACGGCCCGTTCAAGGTGCTCAGTCGCTCGGCCAAACATTTTGTGGTTGAATTAGCAAATCGCAAGGACACGATTAGCATTGACCGCCTGAAAGTGCCCATTTGGATATCACGCGAGAGACAATCTCTGTTCCCGTCACACCCGAACCTCCACCGACAGATGCCGAACAAACTACCCCAGCATCAGTCCCAGCCCCTATCCGCCAAACGCGCTCTGGCCGGCGTGTTCATTGGCCTCAACGCTATGTGACTTTCGTTCGCTAAATTACCACAAACTCACTGGAAGGGGGCTCCTGTAGCCTTCTCTAAAGTGGACTTATGAACACTTCAGCAAATAAAACTGTTTGCACTGATTTTCTTGTGTAATACACTTTTGTAAATATTTAGTTATTTTTCCCCCATTTTTCAGTTATTTTCCCCCATGTCTCAATAACAGTCCATAATCATGATTCCAGATGTTAAACCTCTGAGATTCAGCAAACTATTCATTCATCACTTTCCTTTGCACCAAGGTCCAACCTATATACTTGAGTTGATTTAATTATACCAGACCAGCCATTTTGTCCTTCCAATTTCAGTTAATGGTTTTTGCTCAACCTTCATACCTCCATGATGAGGTTACCAAGTCCAGGGGGGCCTTTTCCCTTGGTGACATGTCTAGACAGTTGTTATTCTTTGTTCATATTTTAACCACTCTGTTTTCAGTCCTCATGCAAGCAACATCTCAAATTTACTCTTTCCAGTTGTACTTAATTCTTGCCCGATACTGTGAATTCTCGGTTCCTTGCTGAATAAAAATAAAACTACTTCAACGCAAATATCTAAATCTTAGTGTGTCCAGTTGTTTTAATTATCTATACACTAAAAGGTAATCTGTTGACTTTTTATGTTGACATTTAAAAACTGACCCCTACACCTAGGCACATCAACAAGAATCCTGATCCCCTTCCATCATGCCCATCCCCAACCCTACCTTCAGCCTCCCTTCCTGCCTTGGACAGCGAACCATGGCGGCTTCGCCGTTCTAGTTTAATTTGTGCTTAGTATAAAAAGGAAAATGTTTTAGTGAGACACAAAAATGTTGAAAATAAGTACAAACAAAAGAGGCACAAAGATTGAAGTTGTTTACACACTTGTGTGAGTGTACGGAGGGGATGATGTCATCCCTGTCTATTATTCGTTAAGTCGGCAAATTGGGGCCAGTTTCATGGGGCTAGGCTGCTAAGCACAAACATTTGCTTAGCATGAAAAGTCTTCTTTGGCAAAAACAGGATTACCAACCAGATTTCCATGTTTATATTGCTTGTGATTGGCATTCAGCTGTTGTTTGCTTAGCATGAAAATCACATGGAGTTTTGGCTGGTAACCTGCTTTTACTAAGCCAGACTATTTTGTGCTTAGCAAATTTTTGGGCTTAGCAGCTCCATGAAATTTGCCCCTGGTGTGTCTATCAGTATGTATTGCGCAAAGAATGTCACCTGTTGGGCCCGATATAATGTCCAGTTTCGTTCAGTTAGTGGTGTCCGGAAGGGGTAACCGCCTGACCGGGTAAAACAAATTCCGGCTAGCTTCCGTCCATGCAGCCGGAGTTTGGTCTTATTCCATGTACATGTTGAATAACTTCTGGCTACTTCTCAGACCCGCTTATATAGTTTCTTCATATTTAAATGTCCATGTAACGAATGACAACAGTATGAAACGGTTGATTTCCTAAGCAACAGACAATTATAGACTTTTCCCAATTAACAGAAAATATTCGATCTTTTAAAACTTTTATCAGAAAAGATGGCCTATGATGAATACAATTACCATGTTGTCATTTGTTTTTGTTTTTTGCAGAATGCCTGGGGCCATAGTAATAACACTATTAAACACACCGTGACTGCATTCTGGAAGCCGCCTGCGTATGACCAGGGCCCTCTTGTTGCCAGGTATGTTAAATTGCATAATAATTTGAATGTTTACATTATAGGCCATTGACTGTTTTAAATATTTTGCACATTTTTTTTGTTATATGGGCCTATTTAAAACATTTGTAATTGTTAATCTTCATTTCGCCTTTAATCCTTTAATTTAATCTCAAATGAATGTACCCAATGACACTCGATCAACCGAGCGACCGATCAACCAACCAGATTTTGAAGCAATCCAATCCGACATGGTTCGACCCGATCCCGGCAAGAGTCTGAAGCGACTCGATCCGACCGACCAGACCCAACCCAACCCGACCCGACCCGACCCGACCCAAGCTAACCTGACCCAACCCAATCCGACATGGGCCGAACCCATCCGACTAGACCAACCAGACAATAACTGTTATTTAGGCCATCAAGGGGTTCAGTCGGTATCAAATGAGGGGAATAATGCTCATTGTGATTTTTGCAAGGTATGCACCCCTGTAGTTGGTGACAGCATGTACATCTAGAGTTGCAAAATATGTGATAGCATTGCAGCAGTGGCAGCTTTTTGGATGCTATCACTTTTTTTGAACAAAATTTAAAGTGATAATGCCCAAAAACTGCCACCGCTCACACTGCAAAGCTATCACACATTTTGCAACTCTAGATGTACATGCCTTGCCAAAAATCGCTATGAACATTGCTCCTTTCAATCATTTGATACCGGTGGCCCAAGTTTTGGACCGAAGCTGATGGCCTAATTGAAAAAAACTCAGTTTAAAGATCAGGGTTAAGTCAGACTTTGTCATGAAGCATTCCCACCCCCCCCCTCTCATGTTCCAGGGCAACAGTCGTGAAGGAGTTCTCAGTCTTCTGGGTGCATATTTTATCTGATGTAATCCAATACTCACCTCCAGGTAAAACATTGTTTATTTTTGTTGTCATTAATGAATAGAATATTTTTATTTTTGTTGTAATTAGTGAGTAGAATGACACATAGGCCTAAAGATCAGTAATTTCCATGTAAAACAATATTTTAAACTACGCCTCGCCCAATGTTCAAAGTTAAGTAAAATTTGCGCACTGGTGTATTTTCTTGTTTGACTGATCGTTGGAGTATCCATCATTAATAAACCCGTGTTTAACATCTACATTATTTTGGCATTTGCTTTTTGCAAATTAATTGTGAAATATTCTTTCATTCCAGAGTCCTTAGGAATACCGACTCTCGTAGAAGTACGGCCCACAGGGTAAATGTGCCTGTTTGCATGTGCACGATAAACACATCTTAACGCAAGGACTATAATCAAACAATTTTACGCATGAGGTGTTTGGTTCATGTATCCTTAGCCCGTACATGTACAACGGATCTCTGTAAACTTTGTCTGTTGTGGTTTGCAGCCACATGGGTTTCGCTGTGCGCTGTCAAACCCTCAGCTGTCCACAATGCATGACTAACTCGCACGCATGTTGTATAATGTCGACCGAAAAATATTATTTTAACCCCCCCCAAAAAAAATTAAAAAGGTAAAATTCCATCACATTATCACTGAGGCTCACAGTGGTAAGCCATTGTATGACTTAAAAACTGTTAAATATATATTTCAAACCTCATTTAAAAAACAAACAAACAACTTTAGGTCCTACAGTTTCAATGCGAATTTCAAATTGGCATTTAAGGCTAGATACCTGACTCGCGTACTTTGAATATGAGATATATGGTCTTTTAGTACCTTTATTAAAGATATAGCTGTAGAATGTTTGCTCCTTTTGAATATTAATTCAAAGTGATTTGTGCCCTTTAAAAAACCCTTCAGAAAACCCTGTCAAAAATCCAACCTCAATGACAATAGAAAGCACTTTTGGGTTTGTATCAAGTAGGCCTATAGGCCAACTTTAATAGTGATTTGAATATGTCTGGTGCAAGAGTGCATAATGGATGTGAATATAACATGTGTAGCGTTTCTACTGCACCTGTCTTATCCGTAAAGCATTACTACATATGCGATATGTCCCAGAGGGCGCTATAGCCATTCGCTAAGATTTATATCCTTGTAAGGCTCATGTCAGTCAGACTCCACTATCCAAGCAGACATGCTAGGTTCTGCTCTCCGCTGTCTTGATGACTCCCTCTGGGTCACCCTTGGTCAATTCACTTGAGTATGCCGTTTTTCAATAGAAGCACTCCGTGCAGCAGTCCTTGATGTGGTGTTTCTCCCTTCAGATGGGGCACTCAATCGATTGGAGTCTCTGCCCTTCCTCGGACCCGACCTTTTTTTGCCAGCAAGTTCCAGGCCTAGATGCAAGCAGGGGCCGAACATCTTCCTGCCTGTGAGAGGGCCCGTCCACATCCAGTGTCCAGATCCCACAGGGACGCCCGGCCCTTCCCGACTACTTCAAACCGTCACTCCTTTAGGTTTGCCCAGACACCTGGCTGATCATAACGGGCACACCAAATGGCCCCTCGCCCGCAGTCAGGTGCACTGGATCCCCGGTTCCGTCCGCAGGCTGGCCGGCCGCAATGACTATACGCCCCCTGGCCCCTGACCACCACTCGTTCTGCCAATTTCGTGGGTCTCTGGCCCGCAGCTCACCAGAATATCTCTGTTGTGAAAACAGCCTTCCTCTCTTCGGCTGCCACAGCTCATCGCATAAGTGAACACCATGCTTTGACTGTCACTGAAGATCACATACGATGGGAGCCAGGTGGTGTATGTCTTATCCCCCATGGCTCCTTTCTCACGAAGAAGCTGTCGGAGACGTTTTCTCCACAGTGACTGAACGTCTTCGAGCCCAACCTGAAGTCAGTCTCCTCTGGTCTGGACAGCGGCTTATTAATCTAGGGTTTAGCATCTTAGGGGCACCTGCAGGGTGCACCAATTTTTTTGGGGTGCAATTTAAGATTTCAAAAGGGGAGGCACGGGGGGGGGGACAGGGTCAACTTGTGCCTTTCTTCAAGGTCAGTTCGGACAACTCACCGTAAAAAAAAAATCTGTTTGTGGCAAAATTAATAGATGGAAATTTGATGGACCTACATAAAACTAAATTAATAAAAAACTCTAAATTATTAAAACAAAATAAACACTATCAGACTGCTGACACATGTTTACCTATAATCTTCGTTACAGAGACAATGTTAACAACAACCCAACCACCCTCTACAGACCCAACTGAATCGTCTCAAGCTACATCAACAGAGTACCCCTTCGGAGGTAAGTCAATCATTTTATAAGTAGATAAATGTGATGCGATCAAGCTAAATGAGTTGTTAGTCGACCCTGGTCAATTTTTTTTGACGGATTTGAAAAGAGCACAATCTCAGCATTACAGCTGTGAAAACCACATGCTGATACCATCTTTAGTTCAAAAATATGGCAGTCGGAACACCAAGAGATGTGATGAAGTAATGTGATGAAGTGGCCCTATTTTGGCCTGAATCTCCAACTGAAAGTTCCCGACAAACAACTAATTTCGCTTGATTACTTCACAAATGATTGGTTTTAATTGACTTATTTCGAACACAAATGAGTATTCGTTCTATTGTTACTTGGTGCCTTTCTTCTGGTTATTTCGGACAACACACCTGGACACAGTTCTGTTTGTGACAGAATTATGCAGAAATAGATGGACCTTTGCCACCAATCCTGCCATTATTTATAACGAGACCTCATCGAACTGTGGAGCTACATAAATGTCAATTCGAAACCTCTACATATGACAACAAAATCAACAAAATTGGAGGCCTGACACATGTTGACCTGTAAATCTTTGTTACAGAGACGACGTTAACATCAACCCAACCACCTTCTACAGACACAACTGATACGCCTCAGGCTACATCAACAGAGAATCCCGTCGGAGGTAAGTCAATCATTTTATAAGTTGATATACGATTGGTTTTAAAGCTTATTTTAATTGACTTTTTTGTAATAAATTGAGTACACGTTGTATTCTTAATCGGTATGTCAAAATCAGGGTCAACTTTGTGTCTTTCGTCAGGTCACTTCTGAAAACTCACTTGGCACACGTTCTGTTTGTAACTAATCGATCAAAAAACAGATAAACCGTTTGCAATCAAAACCTCCATTATTTAAAACGAAACCTTGAAATAGGTTTGAAAAATACTTTTGAAATATTAAAATGAAATAAACAAAATTGGAGGCTGGGCTAAGACAATACTGTAATCTTTTTTGTTACAGAGACAATGTTAACAACGACCCAACCACCCTCTACAGACCCAACTGAGACGCCTCAAGCTACATCAACAGAGCCCTTCGGAGGTGAAGCATTATATATGTCCCTTAATGATTATTGTTTGTAAACCTTGTTTCAACTGAATAATTTTTCTACTCATTTGAGTAAACATTGTTTTAGTAATTTTTATGTTGAAATCAGGGTCAATGCGGACTACTCGTCCTGAAACAAGTGTTACTTGTGACGAAATCGCGCACAAACAGGTCGAATCTTTCTGCCCGTTTTTGGTTTGATATTAGAAGGAAGCCCGATCAAAGTATGGAGCTATGTAAAAAAAAAATTAAAAAAAATCTAAATATTAAAAAACAAATACAACAAACTCAGAGTGCAGACACCTTTTTTCTGTAATGTATTGTTTCCAGTTATTAGGTTTTTTTGCCGGTACCAAAGAGGCCACCCTCTTTGTACCAGACTAAGGCCGTGTCCGAAACGGGCTTCCAGAGCTACGGCTACGCCTATTGTCAGCGTGTCCCCGCATATTTTCAATGGACGCAGACCTAGACCTAGCTCTAGACAGCTGATTTGGATGCAGCCTAACTCACTGATGACTGTCACTTGGAAATTAGACTTGCCTAAGTGTCATGTTGGTCCAACACTTTGGAATAAGATTTCCCTGTCTAAAAAGAATTTGAGTGAGCTGTGGCACCAGTTTGGCTAAGCTAGCCTTGTTTTGTTTGCATTTCTTTAATTACAGAGTTAGCCTTCTCCACCGAGCTAGGAGTCTCTATAATTTTCACTGACACGCCTCAACCTCCATCTACATCGATTGCTGTCGACATCCCAGATATCCCAGGTTAGTGAATCATTTCATACGTTGATTTAACTGTTGATTAACAGCGTTGGTGATTGGGTATGACAGAAACAGGGTCACCTTTAATAGTGAAGGTGTGAAGTCAAATCCGATTACCTTTAAGTCTTATGACGACGTCATCATTATGTTATGTGACATTAACGTATATTGAATATCTATATTTCATAAACAAAACTTCACAAATATCTAAGACTCTCGGACCAATCTTCTTTTGGTGGATAAACCGTCATACAACTGCTACGTTATGAATCATGTATCTGGGCCTAAAAAAAAGCTGGCATGCAATCTCACAGGTTTTGCCCCTTTGAAGTCTAATTCTTGAGGATAAGAGTGGATCTCACGGGCCCTATATAGCTCTCTGATCTCATATGGTCTTGTTTCGTTTCCAGACGATGAGGCTCCAAGCATTACGTGCCCTGATCATGTCACCATGGAGACCGATGCATTCGAGTCCTATGCCACTGTCACCTTGCCTAATTTTCGGAATGCGACGGACAATGTCGTAATCAACGACACGTGGATCATTGCGTTGGGAGCTGAGTATGAAATAGGCAGTACTGCTCAGTTCGGATACTTGAACTCACCACACACCATCACGTACTACGCTGAGGATCTTGCCGGGAACCAGGCGAATTGTAGCATCACAATCACAGTACTGGGTGAGTATGGACTATAAAATTCCCTTACGTGAAAATACACTCATATGTGTACTTTGGAGGCCAGGTAGCATTGACCAGTTTGGAAGCATTAGCCACATTATACTTTTGAAGATTTACGCATAAAGTATGTGACTTTTTCGTCTACCTGGTAGTTTCGTGTTAGACAATGAGCCAGCTTTGCCTCAAAACCAGATTTGTGTCAATAATACTGACTGTACTGTATGTGTAGAAACTAAAGACATTTATTTAATGCATTAAATATTAATGCAGTATTTCCTATAAAAACGGTCCACATGAGACTTTCTTGAATACTACAGTGGACAAAGCGCCCTGAGTATTGTTGTTTCATTGGTCTAAAATGGTTATAAACGTACGCTCTATAGGTGCAGTGTCAAGCATAATTATACATGTAGATACACAATGCAGTGATACCCCTGCGTGCACGACTAGCATCAAATGGGAAGCCGCCATTTTGACTTACACCAATGGTCTAATTTACACAAAACGGCCACGCCCCCATTGCTGCAAGATTCCCAAGACCTTAGGGCGAGAAAGTAAACAAAAAAAATTGTGCAAGGGGCGCTCTGCAACAATGCAATCATCGTCATCGATCACTTGCGTCTGTGGCCGAGACTAATGTCAGGCTGGAAAGCTCACAGTTATCAAAAATGTACACTGCAGTTAATAAATTTATTTCTTGCATAGCAAGTAACAACCATTTATCTTTGGACTTATTGGCATGATGTAACAAAACAATTGTTGACTGCTGTAATGTTTGAGGGATATGGCAATTGTATCCCCCTCAGTTGGTGCATAGTTCGCTTTGAGTGCTATGCATCCCTCGCATGTAAAAAACACCATTACGTCCCACTTCACAGCAGTCAACAATTGCTGAAACAAACATAGATTGTGCCATTACTTAATTTAACATATCATTTTCTTTAAACATTTTTCTCTGCAGATCTTGAGCCCCCGGACATAACTTGTCCACAAAACGGAATGACCTTTGTATTTACGGACGAAGGGCAGTCATTCGCTACTGTAACACTTCCCACAGATCACGAGGTTAGCGACAATGTCCAAGTCGCTAATGTTATCGTCACTGGTAGCCCACCACCTACCCAAGCTCCAATGAGAAGACTGTTGACCACAGGCATCTTATATCCTGGCAACGAGACCACTTTTGAATATGGTTCTCGAAGTGTTTACTACATTGCTACAGATCTTGCGGGTAACGAGAATTTCTGCGAATTGGTCGTTCAAGTGAATGGTAAGTCCAAAAGCACAAGCCACTTGATCAAGTATATACAGTGTGTATAAAAAAAAATGCAAACAAAATAACAACGGAATGCCAGACGTAGAGTGTGTAACCAACGTAGATAATATAGGTAGAGTTTGAAAGATACGCCTTTCCACTTTAAAATGAGGCATCAAATGTCCCAGTTTGATAACTTTTGGCAGAGTTATTAGTAATTTTCCAAGAGAGTTCAAATTGACCATGGGACGAAGTTTTCAATGTTAGACATTGGGACAAAGGAAGCCTTATTGCCTCGGTCATGTCTGTATGGATATTTGCCGGGCCTACAACAATTCTAAACATTTTCGTGCCATCACCTGATGCTAAAAATGTTTAGTAGCATGTAAACATGTTTGCAAACTGATAGCAAGAAAGTGTTTAGAATTGTGTCTACTCCCTAAAAACATTTTTTATAGGCCAGACAAATATTCAAACGCAGGCAGTAATTTTACCTTTGTCCCAGTACCTTAATTTGAAAAACCTGGTCCCATGGAAACTTGGTCCAATGGTCAATTTGACCTCTCTTAAAAAAATACTCATAACTCTGTCAAAAATATCAGATTTGGACGTTTTATGTCTCATTTTAAAGTGGAAAGGCATATCTTTCAAACCATGCCTATAATATATATGTTGGTTACACATTGTGCATCTGGCATTCCGTTATATTTTATTTGCAGGTTTTTTGATACACACTGCACAATGGTCCTAAACGTGCAGGTTGCACTATTTAAACGTTTCTACAAAATTGTAAATTACAATGAAGCCATATGGAAAATCAAATTGTGTAGATCAAGTACAAAAACCACTGTGTGTCTCGCTGGCCATTCTCAGCTCAGAAGACTAGGCGATTTTGAGGTCACCCATTAATCATTTCATTGCTCTTAATTAGAATAATTTAGAGATTGAAGCAGGAAAAAAGGACTTTCGTGGGATGTGGTAAAGAGATACAAATTAAATGTGTATATTCAGAAAAGCTTTCAACCGTAAAGACATTACATCTTGGGTATGTCTGCTGTGCAAAAAAAGGAAATACATAGTCCAACTAGTATGAAGACCTTATGGTACTCAGAATGTAAAAGTGAGGACGCAAAACATTGCAACGTGAGTAACTGTTGAATTGCCCGACTGGAATGGCCAGCCGACCCTGGCAAGCTTGGTGGTCGAGTGGTGAGAGGTCTGCGCTGGTGCGCAGGGTGTCGTGGGTTCTGGTCCTGCCCAAATTGGCACGTAAATACTTTTATTCTTGGATAGCGCTGAGTCCATGTTTATACACAATAATTATAAACAAAATACGTAGGCCAAGGGCAAAACCAAGTATAAAATTGGTTCCATGACAGAAAAATTCCATTTTGTAGAAAAAAAAATATAAACATAAATAACAGTTGCAAAATTTAGCTCATTGAAACTTGACCTAAGCCTTCCACACCAGCAGGCTGTGTGATGGCTTCTGCTTCATTATGTCCTGCCAAACACTTCTGTGGGACGCCAGCCGACTTGCCTCTGACATTGAGATGTCTCTTGTTCTGCAGTCTGTTCTGAGACAGCCTATAGCCATCTCTTTGCTGGTCTTCCTCTAGATCTCGTCTCAAGGGTTTCCCCTTGCATGCTATTTTTGGGTTTTTGTGGTTTGAGACTGTTTTAACCTTATGTTTTTGTCCATAGCAATAACACTGAGCCCTGTATTTATTACTTGACTCTTTTCCTTGGGTTTCAGATCAAGAGCCTCCCACCATCGACTGTCCCTTCTCTGGGAATTTAATGCAGACAACTGACGAGGGACAGGACTTCGCCACTGTTGTGTTCCCATCAAACTACAATGCTTCTGACAATGTGCATATTTCCTCGGTCAGGATTAGTGAGGTTGACATCGAGGAATTTCCACAGCGCAGGAGGTTGCTTCAGTTTCCCCTCTACAGCCCCGGTGACAATCAGACGTACGGGATAGGCAATCACTCCGTTTACTACATAGCGGCTGATTTTGACGAGAACGAAGCTTCTTGTGTCCTAAATATAGTAGTTAAAGGTTGGTCTCCTGTAATATAACATTTCCAAAACAAAATTGAGGTTCTTGTAATTAAGCATTGTTAGAAATTAACCATTCATTTTTTTCATAGGGTTAGTTATCGTAAACTTTTTTCCTCTTTTTCTCTATTTTATAGCACTTATTCTCACATATTGGCTTACTTCACTTGCTTCTCTTATATTCATAGAATGGTGCACTGGTTGATTGTATATTGTACGCCTGCGGTTGACCAAAACCATCATCAATGAAGATGTCACTTACTTTATGACACAATTTGCCCATCCTTCTTTAAATAATTTTTCTTGCGTATGCTTGTTATTACTTTTAGACGACGAGCCTCCGATGATAATGTGTCCCTTTACAGCAAATGGCACTACCGATGCCGGCTTACCAACTGGCACGGCATACTTTCCAGATGCCATCGTCACAGACAATTCTGGGCTGTCTGTTGGACTCGTAGCAAATGCATCTTCATTGTTGTTTCCTTTTCCTATTGGTGAAACCATCGTGGAGTTTGTAGCCACAGATTCCAGTGGAAACAGTGCCAGATGTACCTTTATCGTCAGAATCACAGGTATGAGAATTGCTGATGTTTCTGATTAATCACTATTAGGTTTTGCCCTTCACTGACGAATAAGCACTATGCTCATTGTGTTTAACCCCCCCCCCAAGTGAAAGATGGAACAAATCACTCGGGTAACACACTGAGTGTACAGTGTTTTCACATTGGTGAAGGAAAAATATTGATTAACATCACCACGACGGAAAGTCCATCTTATGAATATTTCTGATTTATGTTTGTAAATTAAGTTTGTCCTGATGGGGATTCAGTAGATTTGTCTCCAACTCTCCTTCTTGTTAAAGATGGTCATGTAGGCCTACAGGTCTAAATGAGCTAGAGTGGCAAGTGGGCATCGTTTTCATCAGAGTAGGCTTCAAAGATTCTTTGTGATTTATTCTGTATTTCCTCTTGGTATAACCACGGTGGAAGTTAATGCAACTGACTCCAGCTCAAACCCTGCTTCTTGCTCCTTCACCATCGATGTTGGAGGTATAGGGTTTATTTTGAAATATTGTCTCTGCTCTTCTTTGTCCCCATTCCTGAACTGATCTCTCTTAGAAGCTGTAAAAATTCAGGAAATTTATTGATGATCTACAAAAAGGGAGCCAATGGGGGTATCAATAATACGTTTTACATTATGATATTGTGTAATTTTGCTGAACTTGTCATTTTTCCTCCTCTAAATTTCTTTTGCAGATGATGATCCTCCAATGATTACCTGCCCGGCCAATCAAACTGTAGCCACTAATTCCAGTTTAAGTACAGTCACAATTCTACTACCTCCTGTGTCATCTGCTTCTGACAACTCGGGAGCATATACCATCACCATTGATGTTGCTGGTGCTACACACAATGTCGGTGACCATGTTACCCTCGACCTTGCTACTGGTCAACATTTACTGCGATACATTATAACTGACAACGCCATGAATACTGAGACTTGTGATACGTACATCACTGTCATTGGTATGTTTACAGATAGAAACGATTGTAATATATTAAGTAATTTTACATACAAAACAATGAAGATTTCACTTAATTTATGACACAATTATTGGATGCTTCTTATTTCTTTTAGACGACGAGCCTCCAACGATAATGTGTCCCTTTACTGCAAATGGCACCACCGATGCCGGCTTACCAACTGGCACGGCATACTTTCCAGATGCCATTGTCACAGACAATTCTGGGCTGTTTGTTGGACTCGTAGCAAACGCATCTTCTTTGTCGACTCCTTTTCCTATTGGTGAAACTATTGTAGAGTTTGTAGCCACAGATTCCAGCGGAAACAGTGCCAGATGTACCTTTATCGTCAGAATCACAGGTATGAGAATTGCTGATGTTTCAGATTAATCAATAGTAGGTTTTGCCCTTCACCGAGGAATAAACGATGTGTACTAGACTCAGTGTGTTACGTCCTGAGCAAAAGTGGAACAAATCACTCGGGTTACACACTGATTGTACTGTGTTCACGTCGGTGAAGGGCAAAACCTTATAATTAAGTGCGTCCCAATGGAGATGCAATATTGATTTGTCTGCAACTCTCTTTTTTGTTAAAGATGTTCACTTACAGGTCTAAGTGAGCTGGGATATGTTTACGCCTGGATGATGTGGCAAGTGGGCATCGATTGCATCCGAGTAGGCATCACAGATACTTTGTGGTTGATTTTGTATTTTGCAATCGAATGAAGTTATGTATTTGAAAAAAGGGTTACAGTTTGAAATACTTTCGTTCCTCCGAAAAGATGATGAGACACCAGTGTTAGAATGTCCACTGAACATCGTCGCACCCACCGACCCTGGGCAGGACTTTGCTACAGTGACGTGGAATTCACCCAACGTGACAGACAACTCTGGGGAATTGATCTTTCCAACTCTAAGCCACGTGTCTGGTTCTACATTTCCTCTTGGTATAACCACGGTGGAAGTTAATGCAACTGACTCCAGCTCAAACGTCGCTTCTTGCTCCTTCATCATCGATGTTGGAGGTATAGGATTTTTTTTAAATATTGATTCTGCTATACTTTGTCCTCATTCCCTCTTAGATGCTGTTAATAAATCTGGAAATTTGTTGATGATCTACAAAAAGGGAGCCAATTAAGTATCAATAATGCGTTTTTACATTATGATATTGTGTAATTATACTGAACTTGTCATTTTTCCTCCTCTAAATTTCTTTTGCAGATGATGATCCTCCAATGATTACCTGCCCGGCCAATCAAACTGTAGCCACTAATTCCAGTTTAAGTACAGTCACAATTCTACTACCTCCTGTGTCATCTGCTTCTGACAACTCCGGAGCATATACCATCACCATTGATGTTGCTGGTGCTACACACAGTGTCGGTGACAATGTTACCCTCGACCTTGCTACTGGGCAACATTTACTGCTATACATTATAACTGACGACGCCATGAATACTGAGACTTGTGATACGTACATCACTGTCATTGGTATGTTTACAGATAGAAACGATTGTAATATATTAAGTAATTTTACATACAAAACAATGAAGATTTCACTTAATTTATGACACAATTATTGGATGCTTCTTATTTCTTTTAGACGACGAGCCTCCAACGATAATGTGTCCCTTTACTGCAAATGGCACCACCGATGCCGGCTTACCAACTGGCACGGCATACTTTCCAGATGCCATTGTCACAGACAATTCTGGGATGTTTGTTGGACTCGTAGCAAACGCATCTTCTTTGTCGACTCCTTTTCCTATTGGTGAAACTATTGTAGAGTTTGTAGCCACAGATTCCAGTGGAAACAGTGCCAGATGTACCTTTATCGTCAGAATCACAGGTATGAGAATTGCTGATGTTTCAGATTAATCAATAGTAGGTTTTGCCCTTCAACAACGAATAAACCCTGTATGATCAGTGTGTTACCTCCCGAGTGAAAGTTGGAACAAATCACTCGGGTAATACACTGAGTGTACAGTGTTTATATGTCAGTGATGGGTAAAACCTAATATTGATTAACGTCACCACAACGCAAATTCCATCTTATGAACATTTCTTATATATGTTTGTAAATTAAGTTTGTCCTGATGGAGATTTGGTAGAGATTGGTCTCTGACTCTCTATCTTGTTAAAGAAGGTTATGTACAGGTCTAAATGAGCTGGGATATGTCTTCGCCTGGATGATGTGGCAAGTGGGCATCGATTACATCCGAGTAGGCATCACAGATACTTTGTGGTTGATTTTGTATTTTGCAATCGAATGTATTTATCTATTTGAAACAAGGGGTAAAGTTTGAAAGTACTTTTTTTTTCCTCCAAAAAGATGATGAGGCTCCTGAGTTAGAATGCCCACTGAACATCGTCGCACCCACGAACCCTGGGCAGGACTCTGCTACAGTGACGTGGAATTTACCCAATGTGACAGACAACTCTGGGGAATTGATCTCTCCAACTCTAAGCCACATGTCAGGTTCTACATTTCCTCTTGGTATAACCACGGTGGAAGTTAATGCAACTGACTCCAGCTCAAACCTCGCTTCTTGCTCCTTCATCATCGATGTTGGAGGTATAGGATTTTTTTTGAAACATTGATTCTGCTATACTTTGTCCTCATTCCTGAACGAATCCCTCTTAGATGCTGTAAATAAATCTGGAAATTTGTTGATGATCTACGAAAAGGGAGCCAATTAAGTATCAATAATACGTTTTACATAATGATATTGTGTAATTATGCTGAAGTTGCCATTTTTCCTCCTCTAAATTTCTTTTGCAGATGATGATCCTCCAATGATTACCTGCCCGGCCAATCAAACTGTAGCCACTAATTCCAGTTTAAGTACAGTCACAATTCTACTACCTCCTGTGTCATCTGCTTCTGACAACTCGGGAGCATATACCATCACCATTGATGTTGCTGGTGCTACACACAATGTCGGTGACCATGTTACCCTCGACCTTGCTACTGGTCAACATTTACTGCGATACATTATAACTGACAACGCCATGAATACTGAGACTTGTGATACGTACATCACTGTCATTGGTATGTTTACAGATAGAAACGATTGTAATATATTAAGTAATTTTACATACAAAACAATGAAGATTTCACTTAATTTATGACACAATTATTGGATGCTTCTTATTTCTTTTAGACGACGAGCCTCCGATGATAACGTGTCCCTTTACTGCAAATGGCACCACCGATGCCGGCTTACCAACTGGCACGGCATACTTTCCAGATGCCATTGTCACAGACAATTCTGGGCTGTTTGTTGGACTCCTAGCAAACGCATCTTCATTGTCGACTCCTTTTCCTATTGGTGAAACCATCGTGGAGTTTGTAGCCACAGATTCCAGTGGAAACAGTGCCAGATGTACCTTTATCGTCAGAATCACAGGTATGAGAATTGCTGATGTTTCTGATTAATCAATAGTAGGTTTTGCCCTTCACCGAGGAATAAACGCTGTGTATTAGACTCAGTGTCTTACGTCCTGAGCGAAAGTGGAACAAATCACTCGGGTACACACTGATTGTACTGTGTTCACGTCGGTGAAGGGCAAAACCTTATATCGATTAACATCACCGCGACGCATATTACATCTTATGAATATTTCTGATTTATGTTTATAATTAAGTTTGTCCCAATGGAGATGCCGTATAGATTTGTCTGCAACTCTCTATTTTGTTAAAGATGGTCACGTTCAGGTCTATAAAGTGAGCTGGGATATGTCTTCGCCTGGATGATGTGGCAAGTGGGCATCGTTTGCATCCGAGTACGCATCACAAATACTTTGTGGTTGATTTTGCAATTGAATGAAGTTATGTATTTGAAAAAAGGGGTACAGTTTGAAATACCTTCGTTCCTGCAAAAAGATGATGAGACACCAGTGTTAGAATGCCCACTGGACATTGACAGACCCACCGACCCTGGGCATGAATATGCTACAGTGACGTGGAATTCACCCAACGTGACAGACAACTCTGGGGAATTGATCTCTCCAACTCTAAGCCACTTGTCTGGTTCTACATTTCCTCTTGGTATAACCACGGTGGAAGTTAATGCAACTGACTCAGGCTCAAACCTCGCTTCTTGTTCCTTCATCATCTATGTTTGAGGTACAGTGGAACGCCGCTATACCGAACACCGCTATACCAAAATCATTCGGCTATACTGAACATCATCCTTTGTACACAGTTTTTGTGTACAAAACATACCGAACATTTTTGTTAAAAAACATGGAACAGATTTGCAAAAAACCCACCAATTATTTTAAAATTTTGTTAATATTAATTCTGCTACACAAAACAAAACACTTCTAGATACAAAACAGTGAAGATGTCGCTTCATGACACAATATGCCGATTTTTCATTCTTCCAATATTCCTTTTGTTATTTCTTTTAGACGACGAGCCTCCGATGATAACGTGTCCCTTTACTGCAAATGGCACTACCGCTGCCGGCTTACCAACTGGCACGGCATACTTTCCAGATGCCATTGTCACAGACAATTCTGGGCTGTCTGTTGGACTCGTAGCAAACGCATCTTCCTTGTCGACTCCTTTTCCTACTGGTGAAACCATCGTGGAGTTTGTAGCCACAGATTCCAGTGGAAACAGTGCCAGATGTACCTTTATTGTCAGAATCACAGGTATGAGATTTGCTGATGTTTCAGATTAATCAATGTTAGGTTTTGCCCTTCAGCAACGAATAAACCCTGTATGATCAGTGTGTTACCTCCCGAGTGAAAGTTGGAACAAATCACTCGGGTAATACACTGAGTGTACAGTGTTTATAATTATGTCAGTGATGGGTAAAACCTAATATTGATTAACGTCACCACAACGCAAATTCCATCTTATGAATATTTCTTATATATGTTTGTAAATTAAGTTTGTCCTGATGGAGATTTGGTAGAGATTGGTCTCTGACTCTCTATCTTGTTAAAGAAGGTTATGTACAGGTCTAAATGAGCTGGGATATGTTTACGCCTGGATGATGTGGCAAGTGGGCATCGATTGCATCCGAGTAGGCATCTCAGATTCTTTGTGGTTGATTCTGTATTATACCATCGACTGAAATTATCTATTTGAAACAAGGGGTAAAGTTTGAAAATACTTTTTTTTCCTCCAAAAAGATGATGAGGCTCCTGTGGTAGAATGCCCACTGAACATCGTCGCACCCACCGACCCTGGGCAGGACTTTGCTACAGTGACGTGGAATTCACCCAACGTGACAGACAACTCTGGGGAATTGATCTCTCCAACTCTAAGCCACGTGTCTGGTTCTACATTTCCTCTTGGTATAACCACGGTGGAAGTTAATGCAACTGACTCCAGCTCAAACCCCGCTTCTTGCTCCTTCATCATCGATGTTGGAGGTATAGGATTTTTTTTGAAATATTGATTCTGCTATACTTTGTCCTCATTTCTGAACGAATCCCTCTTAGATGCTGTAAATAAATCTGGAAATTTGTTGATGATCTACAAAAAGGGAGCCAGTTAAGTATCAATAATATGTTTTTACATTATGATATTGTGTAATTATACTGAACTTGTCATTTTTCCTCCTCTAAATTTCTTTTGCAGATGATGATCCTCCAATGATTACCTGCCCGGCCAATCAAACTGTAGCCACTAATTCCAGTTTAAATACAGTCACAATTCTACTACCTCCTGTGTCATCTGCTTCTGACAACTCGGGAGCATATACCATCACCATTGATGTTGCTGGTACTACACACAATGTCGGTGACAATGTTACCCTCGACCTTGCTACTGGTCAACATTTACTGCAATACATTATAACTGACAACGCCATGAATACTGAGTTCTGTGATACGTACATCACTGTCATTGGTATGTTTACAGATAGAAATGATTTTAATATATATTAAGTAATTTTACATACAAAACAATGAAGATTTCACTTAATTTATGACACAATTATTGGATGCTTCTTATTTCTTTTAGATGACGAGCCTCCAATGATAATGTGTCCCTTTACTGCAAATGGCACCACCGATGCCGGCTTACCAACTGGCACGGCATACTTTCCAGATGCCATTGTCACAGACAATTCTGGGCTGTTTGTTGGACTCGTAGCAAATGCATCTTCTTTGTCGACTCCTTTTCCTATTGGTGAAACCATCGTGGAATTTGTAGCCACAGATTCCAGTGGAAACAGTGCCAGATGTACCTTTATCGTCAGAATCACAGGTATGAGAATTGCTGATGTTTCTGATTTATGTTTGTAAAATAAGTAAATGTAGGTTCAATTTGACGTGGTTGGGATTCATTGTAAACTTGTCTTCATCCTCTATCTTGTTGACATAATGAAAAGTAGCGCGCATCTGCTCAACCGGAAATGTCCACGCAAGATTTCGCGTGGGGAAATGGCCACAAAGATTGGCCACTATTTTAATTCCTTGTATCTTCAGAACTGACGGTCACACAAATCTGGGGGCTGCAGGTTATGAAAATTGAAGTCAATTTGGACGGTACTTCCAGGTGAAAATTACATGCAGGTCAGGTTTAACAGGTATTAAAACCAAAACATCACACTTTTGGACCCCGTATTTATAGAACGACCTATATGCATGGTTCTGAGCAGGCTTTAAATAACTGGGATATCCACGCCTGGATGATAGGGCCTGTGGAGATCACAGCTAAGCATCAGAGCAGGCGTCAAGGATACATTGTGCTTGACTTTGTATCATATACAATCAACTGATGTTATCTATTTTATACCAGGTGTGAACATTTGAAAGTAGTACCTTTTTTCAAATCAGATGATGAGGCCCCTGTGTTAGAATGCCCAATGAACATCGTCGCACCCACTGATCCTGGGCAGGACTTTGCCACAGTGATGTGGAATTCACCCAACGTGACAGACAACTCTGGGGAATTGATCTCACCAACTCTAAGCCATGTGTCTGGTTCTACATTTCCTCTTGGTATAACCACGGTGGATGTTAACGCAACTGACTCCAGCTCAAACATTGGTTCTTGCTTCTTCACCATCGATGTTCAAGGTAGTCTTGTCTTCTTCAGTTGTCATCTTTTGAAGTTGATGTGCATTGAAAACAGATAGTGCCTAGTTCTATATGCTCTTTTAACAACAGCCTGTCAAAACGTTTTGAGGAAACTTTGTGATTGTGGAGCGAACCTAAAACAGGTGATATTATCAGTTGTTCATGAATAGCCAGGACAGTTTACCCATTCTTATGCGGTTCATAAGTGTTTGTAAGAGGATATCCGCCTTCAGCTCGGGCCATTACCGCGACCAGGCCTCTGGCCGTTTTTTTTAAACATATACTTGTTTAAAAGCGGCCAAGTACATTCCCTTATAATATACACCACCAGCACTTACGTTCTCAAAGTCAAACTTTTTTTACCAGACTTGAATGAGATGTCTGCTTTTGAGTTCGTTCGTTATTTAAAGCTATAGTCCATCATTTGTAATTAGTGCATTTTGTTCGTTTGAAGCAACAAAAGTGTTCAAAATCTAATGAAAGATACTGAGCAACTAACCTGATTAAATTTCAGCTGAGCTTCAGCTGTACATTCCGAGAAAAGCAGCATTCTAAGATCTCAATTTCAAATCAAAAGTTACTGAGTCATGTTTTGAATTGTTTTTAATTGCAGCTATACGTGGTGTCGCGCACTGATGCGACGAATTATAACAACCGCGCATGCATGTGCGTCGTTCCAATACTTGTGCGCACTGCGCTGAATAACAAAACGAACTACTAATTAAAATGTTCCTACGGTGCTTCTTAAGAATCACCTTTGGAAATGCCTTCTTTCGTTGATTACTTTAAAATGACAGCTTCCCAGAAAGAATAATTTCACAGGGAGTTTAGTTCCCTTACTATCTTTCAACCAAGTTTGTTTTTCAACAGTAATTACGCCAGTTACTTTTCGGATGGCTGCAAATGATGGACTATAGCTTTAATTAATGATGTATAAAAGTACTTATAATGTGATATACCCGAAGTATTGTACTTCCAAGTAGTGATGCTGTTTTTACTTTCCTTTGTGCCATTGTAGACAGCCAAGCTCCCGTTGTAGAATGCCCAATGAATATCCTCACAGGCACAGACACAGGACAGGATTTTGCTACTGTGATGTGGTACGCACCCAACGTGACTGATAACTCCGGTGAATCAATTACTGCTAATCTAAGCCATGTATCAGGGTCGACATTTCCTCTTGGTATAACAACAGTGAGCGTTGATGCTACTGACTCTAGTGGAAGGACAGGGTCTTGTTCCTTCACTGTCACCGTTCTAGGTATGTTTATATAAATTGATGATGTGTAAATTAAATGTTATAATTCAACCTGGGAAACTAATAGAACTTTTATATATGACAAACGTTTAAAGTGACGTTGGAATATGATAACAAAAATAGTTCCGTAATTGCGGAAAGAAATATTGAAAGAAATTTCTAAGTAACACCTTGACATGTGCATGACGCTTCACTCATGGATGTATCCCTGGGCTGGAGAAGACCAAGAGGAAGGCTTTGCTCAACCTGGACGTCCCTTGTCTCTGCAGAACTACTGGAACTTGCGCAGGAAAGGACAGCTTTCAGCCGTTTAGTCACCACAGTCACCTGATAATCTTGAGGACATTTGTTGTTGTTATTGTTACTTTGTGACATATCTTAATATGTAACAAAAGCAAGAAGTACACAAATGACCCAAATGGTGAAAGAGGGGCAGAAAAAAAGGCAACTCAGCTCAAAATATCAAAAGAAATGTTACACTTCCAGACATTATTAAACATAGTTGACGTTGGAAATGTGGGTTAATTGCTGATTTGCTAGCTAGCATCTAATTCGTTGGTAACAGGAAGCGATGCAGCCTATCTGTCTTTAACTTAGAAACAAAGGAAGCGATCAGCCTGACAAAGTTAGGTGAACTGTACTTAAAGGGAATATACATCATTTGCTTTTGCTGTAATTTTCAGAAATGGATGAAATTGGGGGGTTGGAAATATAAAGCAAATATAGTTACACTGACTTTTTGGAGGTTTTGGGTTCGAAAATGCTATAAAAACCAAGAAAAACGATCATTTTCCTGTAGTCTGGTTCCCTGACTCCATATAAGAAGAAACAGAGCAGTTTACATACATTGGGGAATTGTAAGGTCAGGGAACCAGTCTAGCTGGCTCGTACCCGTTCATAGGTTTGTAATCGATTGCAAACAAGTGCAATGGTAAATTGGGGCCAGTATTTGAAAAAAAGCCAGTTGTTTCCAACGCTGATCGGCCGATCAGCGTTGGAAATTGATACAAAAATACCACTTTTCTTGAAAATGACAGTATACCAGGTGCCATAATTTTACAGGATGCTTTAGACTGTCATTTACCAACATCCTATAAAGGTATTTCGCAAAAACTTGGTAGTTTTATTTTTCGATGTTTGCAAATGTTGTATATTCCCTTTAACACTTACGCATTATCGAATGTCAATTTCTGTAGCTCATTAAGCCCATAGATATAAAAACATGTGTTATCTATTTTATACCAGGTGTGAACATTTGAAAGTAGTACCTTTTTTCCAAATCAGATGATGAGGCCCCTGTGTTAGAATGCCCAATGAACATCGTCGCACCCACTGATCCTGGGCAGGACTTTGCCACAGTGATGTGGAATTCACCCAACGTGACAGACAACTCTGGGGAATTGATCTCACCAACTCTAAGCCATGTGTCTGGTTCTACATTTCCTCTTGGTATAACCACGGTGGATGTTAACGCAACTGACTCCAGCTCAAACATTGGTTCTTGCTTCTTCACCATCGATGTTCAAGGTAGTCTTGTCTTTTTCAGTTGTCATCTTTTGAAGTTGATGTGCATTGAAAACAGACAGTGCCTTATTCTATATGCTCTTTTAACAACAGCCTGTCAAAACGTTTTGAGGAAACTTTGTGATTGTGGAGCGAACCTAAAACAGGTGATATTATCAGTTTACCCATTCTTATGCAGTTCATAAGTGTTTGTAAGAGGATATCCGCCTTCAGCTCGGGCCATTACCGCGACCAGGCCTCTGGCCGTTTTTCTTAAACATATACTTGTTTAAAAGCGGCCAAGTACATTCCCTTATAATATACACCACCAGCACTTATGTTCTCAAAGTCAAACCTTTTTTTCCAGACTTGAATGAGATGTCTGCTTTTGAGTTCGTTGGGGGGGGGGGGGTGTATTGGATACCGTTATTCAATTAATGATGTATACAATTACTTTTCATTTGATATAGTAGTACCCGAAATATTGTACTTCCAAGTAGTGATGCTGTTTTTACTTTCGTTTGTGCCATTGTAGACAGCCAAGCTCCCGTTGTAGAATGCCCAATGAATATCGTCACAGGCACAGACACAGGACAGGATTTTGCTACCGTGATGTGGTACGCACCCAACGTGACTGATAACTCCGGTGAATCAATTACTGCTAATCTAAGCCATGTATCAGGGTCGACATTTCCTCTTGGTATGACAACAGTGAGCGTTGATGCTACTGACTCCAGTGGAAGGTCAGGGTCTTGTTCCTTCACTGTCACCGTTCTAGGTATGTTTATAAATTGATGATGTGTAAATTAAATGTTATAATTCAACCTGGGGAACTAAAAGAACTTTTATATATGACAAATGTTTAAAGTGACGTTGGAATATGATAACAAAAATAGTTCCGTAATTGCCGAAAGAAATATTGAAACACCTTGACATGTGCATGACGCTTCACTCATGGATGTATCCCTGGGCTGGAGAAGACCAAGAGGAAGGCTTCGCTCAACCTGGACGTCCCTTGTCTCCGCAGAACTACTGGAACTTGCGCAGGAAAGGACAGCTTTCAGCAGTTTAGTCATCACAGTCACCTGATAATCTTGAGGACATTTGTTGTTGTTATTGTTACTTTGTGACATATCTTAATATGTAACAAAAGCAAGAAGTACACAAATGACCCAATTGGTAAAAGAGGGGCAGGAAAAAAGGGCAACTCGGCTCAAAATATCAAAAGAAATGTTACACTTCCTCACATTATTAACCATAGTTGACGTTGGAAATGTGGGTTAATTGCTGATTTGCTAGCTAGCATCTAATCCGTTGGTAGCAGGAAGCTATGCAGCCTATATGTCTTTAACTTAGAAACAAAGGAAGCGATCAGCCTGACAAAGTTGGGTGAACTGTACTTAACTCTCACGCATTATCGAATGTCAATTTCTGTAGCTCATTAGGCCCATAGATATAAAAACATGTGTTTCTTGCAAGGAGTCCTGATTAAGTTAAAAATAGTGTACAAGTCTTTATTTTTCTGTGGACTACTTTCAGATGGCGAATCTCCAAGCATTACTTGTCCAGCCAACCAGACAGTTGCCATGGATAGCGGCAAGAACTTCGCCACAGTTGTGTTACCATCCCCAGCCTCTTCCTCTGACAACTCCGGTGTATACACCGTCACCATTGATGTAGATAAGAGATTTTATTTCGTCAACGACACTGTCTCCTTTGACCTTGCAGCATCTCCACATTTAGTGCTGTATACTGCCACTGACGATGCTGGTAATAGCGCTACATGTGATATGTACATCATCGTGTTCGGTAAGTGGGCCTATACAATCAACTGATGTTATCTATTTTATACCAGGTGTGAACATTTGAAAGTAGTACCTTTTTTCCAAATCAGATGATGAGGCCCCTGTGTTAGAATGCCCAATGAACATCGTCGCACCCACTGATCCTGGGCAGGACTTTGCTACAGTGATGTGGAATTCACCCAACGTGACAGACAACTCTGGGGAATTGATCTCTCCAACTCTAAGCCACGTGTCAGGTTCTACATTTCCTCTTGGTATAACCACGGTGGATGTTAACGCAACTGACTCCAGCTCAAACATTGGTTCTTGCTTCTTCACCATCGATGTTCAAGGTACTCTTGTTTTTTTCAGTTGTCATCTTTTGAAGTTGATGTGCATTGAAAACAGACAGTGCCTAGTTCTATATGCTCTTTTAACAACAGCCTGTTAAAACGTTTTGAGGAAACTTTGTGATTGTGGAGCGAACCTAAAACAGGTGATATTATCAGTTGTTCATGGATAGCCAGGACAGTTTACCCATTCTTATGCGGTTCATAAGTGTTTGTAAGAGGATATCTGCCTTCAGCTCGGGCCATTACCGCGACCAGGCCTCTGGCCGTTTTTCTTAAACATATACTTGTTTAAAAGCGGCCAAGTACATTCCCTTATAATATACACCACCAGCACTTACGTTCTCAAAGTCAAACTTTTTTTACCAGACTTGAATGGGATGTCTGCTTTTGAATTCGTTGGGGGGGGGGGGGGGGGGGGTATTGGATACCGTTATTCAATTAATGATGTATACAATTACTTTTCATTAGATATAGTAGTACCCGAAGTATTGTACTTCCAAGTAGTGATGCTGTTTTTACTTTCGTTTGTGCCATTGTAGACAGCCAAGCTCCCGTTGTAGAATGCCCAATGAATATCGTCACAGGCACAGACACAGGACAGGATTTTGCTACCGTGATGTGGTATGCACCCAACGTGACTGATAACTCCGGTGAATCAATTACTGCTAATCTAAGCCATGTATCAGGGTCGACATTTCCTCTTGGTATGACAACAGTGAGCGTTGATGCTACTGACTCTAGTGGAAGGACAGGGTCTTGTTCCTTCACTGTCACCGTTCTAGGTATGTTTATGTAAAATTGATGATGTGTAAATTAAATGTTATAATTCAACCTGGGGAACTAAAAGAACTTTATACATGACAAACGTTTAAAGTGACGTTGGAATATGATAACAAAAATAGTTCCGTAATTGCCGAAAGAAATATTGAAACACCTTGACATGTGCATGACGCTTCACTCTTGGATGTATCCCTGGGCTGGAGAAGACCAAGAGGAAGGCTTCGCTCAACCTGGACGTCCCTTGTCTCCGCAGAACTACTGGAACTTGCGCAGGAAAGGACAGCTTTCAGCCGTTTAGTCACCACAGTCACCTGATAGTCTTGAGGACATTTGTTGTTGTTGTTATTGTTACTTTGTGACATATCTTAATATGTAACAAAAGTAAGAAGTACACAAATGACCCAATTGGTAAAAGAGGGGTAGAAAAAAAGGGCAACTCAGCTCAAAATATCAAAAGAAACATTGCACTTCCTCACATTATTAAAAATAGTTGACGTTGGAAATGTGGGTTAATTGCTGATGTGCTAGCTAGCATCTAATTCGTTGGTAGCAGGAAGCGATGCAGCCTATCTGTCTTTAACTTAGAAACAAAGGAAGCGATCAGCCTGACAAAGTTAGGTGAACTGTACTTAACACTTACGCATTATCAAATGTCAATTTCTGTAGCTCATTAGGCCCATAGATATAAAAACATGTGTTTCTTGCAAAGGAGTCCTGATTAGGCCCCCCAAAAAAGTCTCCGGTTTCTGGTATGCGCGCGCGTCGCCGTAGCCATGCGCGTCGGCAAAATGAACAAGTTTTTTTTTCAATAAAAGATGATGTCTCAAAACCGCCAAACTCACTGGTTTGACTGGAATCCTGCTGCTGCACAATTTTAACGTGTTTTTAGATGGGGTTATGATCGAGAATAAGCTTTATGTGGCGTCTCTGGACTCCCACATATTTGCACTAAGTTTAGTCGGGCACCTTTTGCAGTCATCAGCCGACAATTGAAGCCAAAAAACAGGTTAAAAAAAAAAAAGCCGCGTCGCCGCACCACTTTTTGGGCAAGCTCCATACCAGAAACCGGAGACTTTTTTTTTGGCCTTAAGTTAAAAATAGTGTACAAGTCTTTATTTTTCTGTGTTCTACTTTCAGATGGCGAATCTCCAAGCATTACTTGTCCAGCCAACCAGACAGTTGCCATGGATAGCGGCAAGAACTTCGCCGCAGTTGTGTTACCATCCCCAGCCTCTTCCTTTGACAACTCCGGTGTTTACACCGTCACCATTGATGTAGATAAGAGATTTTATTTCGTCAACGACACTGTCTTCTTTGACATTGCAGCATCTCCACATTTAGTGCAGTATACTGCCACTGACGATGCTGGTAATAGCGATACATGTGATATGTACATCACCGTGTTCGGTAAGTGGGCCTACATTACTTCCCAGTTTCTACATAAATTATGCAAACCAAACTTTGGAAGTAGAGCGACTGGATAGACATTATATGGTAACCACAAGGAATAGATCTTAATTTATTGGTTAGCCCTAGATATCACACACACCTCATGATGCACATGCAGGATAGTGTGCTGCTAGCCTGCTGGGAATGGTAATTGTACCATTTGTGTTTGTACCTGTGTTAGACCCACATTATTATCTAATATTTCAACATTGAGATAACATTGCCTATGTGTTCTAACCCAGATATCGATGATTGTGATCCCAACCCTTGTCTGAATGGAGGAACGTGTTCTGATGGCATTAATAGCTACACATGCACGTGTGCACCAGGATATACAGATAGCAACTGCACAACAGGTATATTTCCCTTCATTTCCATCTGCTTTATACTTTATTCAGAACAGCATGAGCCCCCTTTTTTTCTCAACTTATTTTGCCAAAATTGGTTTATAATATATTATTTGATTTTTGATATTCCAGACATTGATGACTGTTTCCCTGATCCCTGCTTGAACAACGGAACCTGCTCAGATGGTGTCAATGGCTTCACTTGTGAATGTGCTGAAGGATTCGAAGGACAAAATTGTTCAACAAGTAAGCTAATTAAACCTTGTATCAACTCTAAACAACCTTTTAGACTAATTTTGAAAAGTGAGAAAACAAAATAGCATTATTTTCACAAACCTTTTCTGTGTTATCTTGTTTACAGACACTGATGATTGTCATGCACAAGTTTTTTAGTGCATCCACATTTTAGTGCAGTATACTAGCTGCCACTGCCTGTTCTGGTAAAAGCGCTGCATGATTGTGTTTGTTATAAAGTGGGTCTATACCTCTCAATTTCTTGATTTTAAAAACCAAAATTTTGAAGGCAAAGTGACTGGATAGGCTTTTATGGTGATCACAAGTAGAAGATCTTACTGTGGTGGTAGGCCCCTAGATATTGCACACATTCCCTCTTTATATTAGGACCAAATGATGTGCATACAGTGACGTATGGTACTACGAATGATTATTGTATCATCATTTGTTTGTGTATTTTACTAGACTCCCATAATAAGCCAGTTCGGTATCTCGATGAAGTAGTCCATGTCAAAGGTCATTCGGGATAAAATCGATGACGTGATGATACGCGGACGCCCATTCTGCTTGTATTTAACACACGAGCGTCGTGTGCCCGTCTCCCTGCACGTTCATGCACCTTCGATGAGCGTTCGATTTTCCCGAATGACCCGTGACCCATATCATTGTGCGCATGCGAAGTTCAAATACTGAAGTGGCTTATTGTCGTCATCTAAATATTGAGACACCATCATTGCCCGTTAAGTGTGCCCGATGAATTGATCACACAAAATGGTGATTTAATAAGCAACTTCATTCCAAGGCTGATTCGTGACCATGTACCTATTCTTGATGCCCAGATATCGATGATTGTGATCCCCACCCTTGTCTGAATGGAGGGACGTGTTCTGATGCTCTTAATGGCTACACATGCACGTGTGCACCAGGATATACAGATATTAACTGCTCAAAAGGTAATCTATTTCATGATGATAAATGTAAAGAGCCATTTTTTTTTATCGTCAAATATGTTTTTTAATTTTTAGAGGACTTTATCCTCAGTGAAAATAAATATACATTGAGTACACCATCCATACAGTCCCATTTGTGAAATCCTTCAACCAACGAGGAGACTTAACATTCTGATTTGTCAACTTATAATAGAAACAAATTACGGATCAAATGTTAAAATTGTTGCATCTGTAGAAATTGACGAATGCAGTCCTAACCCCTGCATGAACGGAGGAGTGTGTACTGATGGCATCAATGACTACACATGCACCTGTGCCCCAGGATACACTGATGACAACTGCACAACAGGTAATTGATTTTTCAAAGGCATGTAGGATCGTTGTTAATTACCAGGGAACAGACTTACCAATTTACTTTAAAAAAAAACTCGCTCAAAGTGAAGATAAGGGTGGTACTAACTACTCTGTGAAATTGTTTCACCTGTGGTATCCTTCTGAAGAAAACAATTGAAGGTGGTTTTAAATAAGTGTGTACGCGGGCACACCCTGTTTGCAACGGAATCTAGTTACAAGACCCTAAAGAAGTGTGCATGTTTTCTCTGTTTTCTCAAAATACAGCCGATGAGCTAAAACTGCCACAGATTTAGTGTTTGTGCACTTTATTCAGATATTGAGCGAATGTGTTGCTTCAGACAAATTCATTGCACAAAAGCAAATGATCCTACTATGTACCTAATGTTGTATCATTTCTTTAGTACATGTAATCCCATATCTTTTTTTACATTATGTTTTCTTAGTTAAGGAAGTCCTTTTTAGCATAACTTTGCAGGAATTAATTACATATCCAGAATCATGATTTTATTAATGAGCATTCAGAATCATTTCTTTTGATATGCATGCAATCACACCTTTCGTGTGCAACTTGTTTTCCTTTTTGAGGGCCGTCATTTCTGCAGCATAACTTTACAGAAATATAACTTCAGAATTAAATAGTCAAAATGAAATATTTGCCGAATTAGGATTTTCGGGTATTGCCTAACAAAGTAGTTGACTAAGTTGATGTTGAATTTTGCATTTGACACTTAGACATCGATGACTGTGATCCCAACCCTTGTCTGAATGGAGGAACCTGTTCTGATGGCGTTGATAGCTACACATGCACATGTGCACCAGGATATACAGATAGCAACTGCACCACTGGTATATATCCCCTTCATTTCCATCTGCTTTATACTTTATTCAGAACATCATTTCTCAACTTATGTTGCCATGAATTGGTACATTATTTGATATTTGATATTCCAGACATTGATGACTGTTTCCCCGATCCCTGCTTGAACAACGGAACCTGCTCAGATGGTGTCAATGGCTTCACATGTAAATGTGCTGAAGGATTCGAAGGACAAAATTGTTCAACAAGTAAGCTAATTAAACCTTGTATTAACTCTAAACAACCCTTTAGACTGATTTTTGAAAAGTGAGAAAACAAAATAGCATTATTTTCACAAACCTTTTCTGTGTTATCTTGTTTACAGACACTGATGATTGTCATGCACAAGCTTGTTTTAACGAGGGAACCTGTATAGACGGTATCAACGGATACACCTGTGAATGTGTTGCAGGATTTGAAGGGGACGATTGCTCGACAAGTAAGTTAAAAGGAAATGAAATGAATAAATAAATAAATATTACCCGTCCAGCCAAATACAAAAAAAGGCCATGGATAGCGGCAAGAACTTCGCCATGTGTTACCCACCCCAGCCTCTTCCTCTGACAACACTGGTGTTTACACCATCACCTATGATGTAGATAAGATCACATAAATTGTCAACGACACTGCCTCCTTCGACCTTGCAACATCCCCATCCACATTTTAGTGCAGTATACTAGCTGCCACTGCCTGTTCTGGTAAAAGCGCTGCATGATTGTGTTTGGTATAAAGTGGGTCTACCTCTCAATTTCTTGATTTTAAAAACCAAAATTTTGAAGGCAGAGTGACTGGATAGGCTTTTATGGTGATCACAAGTAGAAGATCTTACTGTGGTGGTAGGCCCCTAGATATTGCACACATACCCTCTTTATATTAGGACCAAATGATGTGCATACAGTGACGTATGGTGCTAGGAATGATGTTTGTATCATCATTTGTGTGTGTATTTTACTATAGACCCCCATAATAAGCCAGTTCGGTATCTCGATGAAGTAGTCCATGTCAAAGGTCATTCGGGATAAAATCGCTGACATGATGATACACGATGTTACGTGGACGCCCATTCTGCTTGTATTTAACACGCGAGCGTCGTGTGCCCGTCTCCCTGCACGTTCATGCACCTTCGATGAGCGTTCGATTTTCCCGAATGACCCGTGACCCATATCATTGTGCGCATGCGAAGTTCAAATACTGAACTGGCTTATTGTCGTCATCTAAATATTGAGATACCATCATTGCACGTAAAGTGTGCCCAATGAATTGATCACACAAAATGGTGATTTAATAAGCAACTTCATTCCAAGGCTGATTCGTGACCATGTACCTATTCTTGATGCCCAGATATCGATGATTGTGATCCCCACCCTTGTTTGAATGGAGGGACGTGTTCTGATGCTCTTAATGGCTACACATGCACGTGTGCACCAGGATATACAGATATTAACTGCTCAAAAGGTAATCTATTTCATGATGATAAATGTAAAGAGCCATTTTTTTTATCATCAAATATGTTTTTTAATTTTTAGAGGACTTTATCCTCAGTGAAAATAAATATACATTGAGTACACCATCCATACAGTCCCATTTGTGAAATCCTTCAACCAACGAGGAGACTTAACATTCTGATTTGTCAACTTATAATAGAAACAAATTACGGATCAAATGTTAAAATTGTTGCATCTGTAGAAATTGACGAATGCAGTCCTAACCCCTGCATGAACGGAGGAGTGTGTACTGATGGCATCAATGACTACACATGCACCTGTGCCCCAGGATACACTGATGACAACTGCACAACAGGTAATTGATTTTTCAAAGGCATGTAGGATCGTTGTTAATTACCAGGGAACAGACTTACCAATTTAATTTAAAACAAAAACTCGCTCAAAGTGAAGATAAGGATGGTACTAACTACTCTGTGAATTTGTTTCACCTGTGGTATTCTTCTGAAGAAAACAGTTGAAGGTGGTTTAAAATAAGTGTGTACGCGGGCACACCCTGTTTGCATCTGTTAGCAACGGAATCTAGTTACAAGACCCTAAAGAAATGTGCATGTTTTCTCTATTTTCTCAAAATACAGCCGATGAGGTAAAACTGCCACAGATTTAGTGGTTGTGCACTTTATTCAGATATTGAGCGAATGTGTTGCTTCAGACAAATTCATTGCACAACTAGCAAATAATCCTAGTACAAACCTTAAATGTAGAATCATTTCTTTAGTACATGTAATCCCTTATCTTTTTTTACATTATGTTTTCTTAGTTTAGGAAGCCCCTTTTTAGCATAACCTTGCAGGAATGAATTACATATCCAGAATCATGATTTTATTAGTGAGCATTCAGAATCATTTCATTTGATAAACATGCAATTACACCTTTCATGTGCACCTTGTTTTCCTTTTTGAGGTCCGCCATTTCTGCAGCCTAACTTTACAGAAATATAACTTCAGAATTAAATAGTCAAAATAAAATATGCCAAATTGTGATTCTCGGGTAGTGCCTAACAAAGTAGTTGACTAAGTTGATGTTGAATTTTGCATTTGACACTTAGACATCGATGATTGTGATCCCAACCCTTGTCTGAATGGAGGAACCTGTTCTGATGGCGTTGATAGCTTCACATGCACATGTGCACCAGGATATACAGATAGCAACTGCACAACAGGTACATTTCCCTTCATTTCCATCTGCTTTATTCTTATATTCAGAACAGCATGAGCCCCCCTTTTTTTCTCAACTTATATTGCCATGAATTAGTAAAAATAATATATTATTTGATTTTTTGTTATTTCAGACATTGATGACTGTATCCCCGATCCCTGCTTGAACAACGGAACCTGCTCAGATGGTGTCAATGGCTTCACATGTGAATGTGCTGAAGGATTCGAAGGGCAAAATTGTTCAACAAGTAAGCTACTTAACTTTGAATCAACTTCAAACAACACTTTAGTCATTTTTTAATCGAATATAAGAAAATTGAGGGAGTTTTAAAGGTACATTATGATCATCTACATTTGATCATCTACATTTGTCGTTTGTGCAGTAAAATTGCTCAAAATATTAAGCAGGGAGCATTAACACTATGATTATAAACCTGTTGAAGTCAATCAGAATAAATGATTGTACACATTTTGAGAAAACAGGATGACATTTGCACATGTTTTGAGTCTCCTAAGTTGATTTTGTTGCTATAGCAGATGGGGGTTGGGGGGGGGGGGGGGGAGGGGGTGGTTCAACCCCCCGGCCGGCTCTGTCAATTTTTGTTTCATAGAAATTCATTAAAAAAATGCAACCCCCCCCCTGCTCTGACACCCAAAAATGCTTGCTGTTGATAATGTACGCCTGTTCAAAAAATGTGGTTAGAGCCACCTTGATTAGGGGGTATTTGTACAGTACAAGTATTCCGTAAAAATTATAGTGTTAATAATCATCGGTTTAAACAGTGCCCCCATTGAAAGTATGGCACGAGCCTGCCCCCCCCCCCCCCCCATTGATTTTCGGAGGCCAAGTGTCCGGAGAAAAAAAACCTGTATACATTTTGAGATTTTTTTTGCTGATGAACCCTCCCCCCCTGTGAAAATTCCTGGATCAATGGATCAATGGATCAATGGATCAATGGATTTATGTCCATTCCATGGACATAAATCTCATTCATACAGTTAGTGTACATGTTGATATCAAGGTCCATGTAGATGGGTAGTCCCAGTATTTAATGAATGAGGTCTATATTTAGAAAAAAACAAAACAATGTGTGCGGCTTCGTAAAACCAGTCCTTTATATTCACTAACCTTTCTTTGATGTCGATGTTGTTTACAGACACTGATGATTGTCATGCACAAGCTTGTTTTAACGAGGGAACCTGTATAGACGGTATCAGCGGATACACCTGTGAATGTGTTGCAGGATTTGAAGGGCGAGATTGCTTAACAAGTAAGTTAAAAGGACTAAAATTAAACAAGATAAATAAATGAATTAATAAACAAGCCAAGAATGAGGATCCTCGATACATATTTCATATACAGGGTGGCCCAAAAAAGGGGGAACCTCATACATCCACTTTCCTGAGCTATGAGACTCAAACTAAAATGGAAGCGCATTCATCCGCTACCTTGAGCTTCAAACCACCTGTACCAATTGATGGAGAATCCTTTCAGAAGGATTATGATACCAAAATATCCTGATTCGGGCCAGTAGTTTTTGCAGCAGAGCCCATATTTTGTGAAGCACACTTCTTCCACGTGGGTATTATTACACAACAATCCCTCTATCAATAACAATGTAAGTCAAATTCCCGGGCACGGTTTAGTTATTTATCAGGACAAAAATGTCCCCACGTACCTTGCTTCACAAAAAAGGCTCTAGAAGAAAAACTACTGTACCGAATCGGGTGATCTTGGTTTAATTTTTCTTCTAAACAAGATTCTCCATACATTGGTATATGTGGTTTGAGTCTAAGGGTAGTGGAAGTATGAGGTTCAGGGTTTTTTTAGCACCCTGTATATATATACAATGTAAATGTATCTTTTTCTTCTTTTGAAACATGTAACAGCAGTTTTTTTTTTTCAGATTAAGATGGAAACTCAAAACAATTTTTCGACATTCCCCCACTTACAACCTTCTTTAAGGAATTCCTTCTTGTAAAAAGTAAAAATAATTAATATAATACATTGTGTTGTCAATTTTTCCTCATTTCATGGATTCTTGGGAAACTTGGTTTTCCTGGCTCTCTAAAATGCAGAATGAGTCCTCTTTCTCGTTTGCATCACGTTGTATTTAATTCACCCTTGTTTATCTAATTTACTGAACTCAAATTGGTATCAACTGATATTGATAACAAAACGGGGCCCATTATATGTGATGCGATCAAGCTAAATGAGTTGTTTGTCATGAACTTTCATTTTTGGAGATTCAGGCCAAAATAGGGCCACTTCATCACATCACTTCATCACATCTCTTGGTATTCTGACTTCCATATTTTTTTTAACGAAAGATGGTATCAGCATGCAGTTTTCACAGCAGTAATGCTGAGATTGTGCTCTTTTCAAAACTGTGAAAAAAATGACCAGGGTCGACAAACGACTCATTTAGCTTGATTTCATCACATATGAATCAATAAGCCATTTGCGAGTTAAATTTGAATAAAATCTGGAACACTGACTTAATCCAGTGCTTTGCACGTTTTAAGTTTGCATTCTCCCGACCAAAGAGATTGTTACTATATCACGTGATTCGGGGCAAGCCTTACGCTAGCAACCCCCAGCTCCGGCATGGTCTGGTGTCTTTGTGCCATTCTCACCCATTGTGAACAATGTATTGGTGCTAAGCGTCTCTTACGTAACTATGCAAGAGCTTGCCCCGAATCATGTGATTAGCAGCAGTGTCTTTGATCTGGAGAATTCAAAGTTAAAATGTGCCACAGCATTCTGAGCAAGTCTGTGTACCAGATGTTTTTCAAATGTAGATCCCAAAGGGTATAGGTTACTCGCAAATGGCTTATTTAAACTTTTCGTGTTTCCTTGGGTGATTTTATCACAGACATTGACGACTGTGATCCAGATCCCTGTATGAATGATGCCACCTGTTTCGATGGCGTTAACAGGTTCACCTGTGCATGCGCTGAAGGATTCAGTGGAGAGAATTGCTCAATTAGTAAGTGCCAAACGTTAAAGAACAGTCCATTTCATTTTATTTTATTTAATATCTAGGACGATATAAAAATTACAAATACACAAATTAAAACTTAACAGGATATAAAGACATTAGGATTACTCTCTCACAATAATCATTATACAAAAAATACAGCTAGACCCCATTGACAAACGCTTTGCTGTAAAGTGAACCAAATCGCTATCTGAAAGCTCTGCTGGCATGTAATAAACACAAATGATAACGAACACATCACAAAAAATACATCACAACTTGTTAGGAATTATTATTCTTATTATTAATCATTCTGGTATAACCAAGGATTCCTCAAAAGCGCCCTATAGGCACTGTAGCTCGCAAGCCTGAAGAAACCTGTGGAGAGAAAACAGTGAAAAGTTACAGTTTTAGAGGTGGGAGGAAAAGCCCAGAAGAATATTTAGAGGAAAACCCACGGAATTAGGTAGGGACTGCATGAAAACCCAATCCATATATTGGCCCAGGCGGGATTCGAACCCGGGTCACAGCAGTGGAAGGCGAGGAAAGTACCTCTACGCCAACCTGACTCCCTATCATTGAGCCCCGCCAACTGGGCATGTGGGAAACAACACGTAGACCTTGTGCATGCATGTCACTTTGGTACGCGCATGTCAGCCATCAAGCATGGCTGTGATTGGTCAAATTAAACCCCAGGGGGCGGGTTTAATAGATCAGTTAATTCCAAGTTGAGTCTTGATATTCTTCAACCAAATCGGTGTAATCTACAATTGGTATTTCATATCTGACAATTTGCAGATCTTGATGACTGTTATCACAATCCGTGTATGAATAATGGAACCTGCATTGATGGTATCAGTAGCTATGTATGTGAATGTGCGGAAGGATTTGAGGGAAAGGACTGCGAAATAAGTAAGTTGAACCATAAAATATAATATGATTTTAAATATTTTTGAAGTAGTTTACCTTAAACCATACGAACCAATGACAAAAGAAGCTAAGTTTAACATAAGAAAATAACTTTTGGAAGTCAGAAAACATTCTGCAGGTTGTAACACAACAGAAGGATGAAATGGGTCCCTTTTACTTAATTTACCCTAAAATTTCGAAAACAAGAGATCATTAAAAACAACTAACATACCAGGGACAAACAAATAGATTAACCCATTAAGCCCTTGTATTACATTGTACTATACAGGGTGAGTAAACAAAAAAAAACGAATACAAATGTCAGGACTATTGTTTTAGTGAAGTTCTGCATGTAGCACTTTCAAATTCAAAATCTTTCTTAATAGTACAAGAATTATTCAAATCACTCATGTGCTTTTCAAGTTACGGAATTTTAAGCACAACCACCGTTTTAAAGTTCTGTGCACAGATCACAAAAAAAGGTGTACGTTCTTTCAGCAAAACGAAAATAGTTCACACATATCCTTTTGTGGTTTGTTTTCGTTTTGCTATAAGAATACTGAATTTGTTTGATCCGTGGACAGAACTTTAAAACGGTGGTTGTGTTTTAAATTCCGTAACTTGTAAATTACATAACTGATTTGAATTATTCTTGTACTAAAAGAAAGCAATATGAATTGTATCCTAGATTGTGAAAGTGCTACATGCAGAACTTCACTAAAACAATGGTCCCGACATTTGTTTTTTTTTTACTCACCTTGTACTGAATTATTTTACTCCTTGGTCAATCCAAGCAGCCATGCTGGGGCAGTTTGCAGTGGCATGAGTGGTGTATGGAGTGATGGTAACAGGTAGGGTACTCTGGGGCAGTACAGTTACAAAAAGACACACACTTCTTATTTTTTACTTGCAGATACTGATGACTGTAGTCCAGACACCTGTTTGAACAATGGAACATGTAGAGATGGAATTAATGGATACACCTGTGATTGTGTTGCCGGGTTCCAAGGAGTTAATTGCTCGACAAGTAAGCTATACAAAAGAGATGTAGAGGGGCTTAGGATCAATTGCATTTATCCCGAAACTAACATACCGAATTATTTAGCTTGATCGCATCACATGTGAATCAAATTAAACTTTTCGTGTTTCCTTGGGTGATTTTATCACAGACATTGACGACTGTGATCCAGCTCCCTGTATGAATGGCGCCACCTGTTTTGATGGCGTTAACAGGTTCACCTGTGCATGCGCTGAAGGATTCAGTGGAGAGAATTGCTCAATTAGTAAGTGCCAAACGTTGAAGAACAGTCCATTTCATTTTATTTTATTTAACATCTGGGACGATATAAAAATTACAATTACACAAATTAAAACTTAAAAAGATATAAAGACATTAGGATTACTCTCCAAAAAACCCCATTGACAAACACTTTGCTGTAAAGTGAACCAAATCGCTATCTGAAAGCTTTACTGGCATGGAATAAATCATAGAGCTAGGACCCAAGGAGTTCGAACTCCAAGACATCAAAAGTACAAGGATGATCGCCGACACTGCCCTGCGGCACAATCGCTCTGTTTCACGACCCTTATCTAAACACCAATTAGCCTAGCTGTATGAATAAACACAAATGATAACAACAAACACATCACAAAAATGCAACATCACAACTTGCCAGGAATAAACCGATATTGAGCCCCGCCAACTGGGCATGTGGGAAACAACACGTAGACCTTGTGCATGCATGTCACTTTGGTACGCGCATGTCAGCCATCAAGCATGGCTGTGATTGGTCAAATTAAACCCCAGGGGGCGGGTTTAATAGATCAGTTAATTCCAAGTTGAGTCTTGATATTCTTCAACCAAATCGGTGTAATCTACAATTGGTATTTCATATCTGACAATTTGCAGATCTTGATGACTGTTATCACAATCCGTGTATGAATAATGGAACCTGCATTGATGGTATCAGTAGCTATGTATGTGAATGTGCGGAAGGATTTGAGGGAAAGGACTGCGAAATAAGTAAGTTGAACCATAAAATATAATATGATTTTAAATATTTTTGAAGTAGGTTACCTTAAACCATACGAACCAATGACAAAAGAAGCAAAGTTTAACATAAGAAAATAACTTTTGGAAGTCAGAAATTATTCTGCAGGTTGTAACACAACAGAAATATGAATTGGGGCCCTTTTACTTAATTTACCCTAAAATTTCGAAAACAAGAAATTATTGAAAACAACTAACATACCAGGGACAAACAAATAGATTAACCAATTAAGCCCTTGTATTATACAGGGTGAGTAAACGAAAAAACGTATCCAAATGTCAGGACTATTGTTTTAGTGAAGTTCTGCATGTAGCACTTTCAAAATCTAGGATATGAAAGCCCAGTTTAAAAGCTTTCTTAATAGTACAAGAATTATTCAAATCACTCATGTGCTTTTCAAGTTACGGAATTTTAAGCACAACCACCATTTTAAAGTTCTGTGCACAGATCACAAAAAAGGTGTACGTTCTTTCAGCAAAACGAAAACAGTTCACACACATCCTTTTGTGGTTTGTTTTTGTTTTGCTATAAGAACACTGAATTTTTTTGATCCGTGGACAGAACTTTAAAACGATGGTTGTGTTTAATATTCCGTAACTTGTAAATTACATAAGTGATTTGAATTATTCTTGTACTAAAAGAAAGCAATATGAATTGGGCTTTCATATCCTAGATTGTGAAAGTGCTACATGAAGAACTTTTACTAAAACAATGGTCCCGACATTTGTTGTTTTTTACTCACCTTGTACTGAATTATTTTACTCCTTGGTCAATCCATAAAGCCATGCTGGGGCAGTTTGCAGCGGCATGAGTGGTGTATGGAGTGATGGTAACAGGTAGGGCACTCTGGGGCAGTACAGTTACAAAAACACACACATTTCTTATTTTTTACTTGCAGATATTGATGACTGTAGTCCAGACACCTGTTTGAACAATGGAACATGTAGAGATGGAATTAATGGATACACCTGTGATTGTGTTGCCGGGTTCCAAGGAGTTAATTGCTCGACAAGTAAGCTATACAAAAGAGATGTAGAGGGGCTTAGGATCAATTGCATTTATCCCGAAACTAACATACCGAATTATTTAGCTTGATCGCATCACATGTGAATCAAATTAAACTTTTTGTGTTTCCTTGGGTGATTTTATCACAGACATTGACGACTGTGATCCAGATCCCTGTATGAATGGCGCCACCTGTTTCGATGGCGTTAACAGGTTCACCTGTGCATGCGCTGAAGGATTCAGTGGAGAGAATTGCTCAATTAGTAAGTGCCAAACGTTAAAGAACAGTCCATTTCATTTTATTTTATTTAATATCTAGGACGATATAAAAATTACAAATACACAAATTAAAACTTAAAAGGATATAAAGACATTAAGATTACTCTCTCACAATAATCATTATACAAAAAACCCCATTGACAAACACTTTGCTGTAAAGTGAACCAAATCGCTATCTGAAAGCTTTACTGGCATGGAATAAACCATAGAGCTAGGACCCAAGGAGTTCGAACTCCAAGACATCAAAAGTACAAAGATGATCGCCGACACTGCCCTGCGGCACAATCGCTCTGTTTCACGACCCTTATCTTAACACCAATTAGCCTAGCTGTATGAATAAACACAAATGATAACAACAAACACATCACAAAAATGCAACATCACAACTTGCCAGGAATAAACCGATATTGAGCCCCGCCAACTGGGCATGTGGGAAACAACACGTAGACCTTGTGCATGCATGTCACTTTGGTACGCGCATGTCAGCCATCAAGCATGGCTGTGATTGGTCAAATTAAACCCCAGGGGTGGGTTTAATAGATCAGTCAATTCCAAGTTGAGTCTTGATATTCTTCAACCAAATCGGTGTAATCTACAATTGGTATTTCATATCTGACAATTTGCAGATCTTGATGACTGTTATCACAATCCATGTATGAATGATGGAACTTGCATTGATGGTATCAGTAGCTATGTATGTGAATGTGCGGAAGGATTTGAGGGAAAGGACTGCGAAATAAGTAAGTTGAACCATAAAATATCATATGATTTTAACATTTTTGAAGTAGGTTACCTGAAACCATATGAACCAATGACAAAAGGAGCTAAGTTTAACTTAAGAAAATAACTTTCGGAAGTCAGAAAACATTCTGCAGGTTATAACACAACAGAAATATGAATTGGGTCCCCTTTACCTAGTTTACCCCAAAATTTTGAAAACAAGAAATTTAACAAATAACATACCAGGGACAAACCAATAGATTAACCCTTGAAGCCCTTGTATTACATTGCACTATACAGGGTGAGTAAACAAAAAACGAAACCCAAATGTCGGGGCTATTGTTTTAGTGAAGTTCTGCATGTAGCACTTTCAAAATCTAGGATATGAAAGTCCAATTCATAAGCTTTTTTTTAGTACAAGAATCATTCAAATCACTTATGTTACTTTTCAAGATACGGAATTGTAAACACAACCACTGTTTAAAGTTCTGTCCACGGATCACAAAGAATGTGTGCGTTCTTTCAGCAAAACAAAAACAATTTACACACATCCCATTGTGGTTTGTTTTCGTTTCGCTGAAAGAATACTTACCTTTTTGTGATCCATGGACAGAACTTTAAACAGTGGTTATGTTTAAAATTCCGTAACTTGAAAAGTACATGAGTGATTTGAATGATCCTTGTTACTAAAAGAAAGCTTATGAATTGGGCTTTCATATCCTAGATTTTGAAAGTGCTACATGCAGAACTTCACTAAAATAATGGTCCCGACATTTGGGTTTCGTATTTTTTAACTCACCCTGTACTGTATTATTTTACTCCTTGGTCAATCCATAAAGCCGTGCTGGGGCAGTTTGCAGCGGCATGGGTGGTGTATGGAGTGATATAGTAACAGGTAGGGCACTCTGGGGCGGTACAGGGACTAATTGGTTACAAAGACACACACATTTCTTATTTTCTACTTGCAGATATTGATGACTGTAATCCAGACACCTGCATGAACAATGGAACATGTAGAGATGGAATTAATGGATACACCTGTGATTGTGTTGCCGGGTTCCAAGGAGTTAATTGCTCGATAAGTAAGCTATATACAAAACAGATATAAAGGGGCATAGGATCTTTTGCATTTATCCTTAAACTAACGTACCAAATTATTATCAAAAAAATCTTACTATTAACCCTACAAGGGCTGGGGGTTTATCCAACCACCCCCTCCAATTTTTCTGCGATATGTTTGCTTTCAGTTTCACCACCTTTCCTGACTTTTTACCCTCGAGTCTTGCACATCTTTTGATACCCAAAACATAAAATTCCGACCATGGGTCTTTGCACCGTGAAAACTGAATTTCACCATATGTATTGTACACAAAGCAGATTATGCATGGGTGCATATGAATAATGAATTAGCGAATAATTCCAAAACTCTTTAACCTATTATCATAAAATTTCTTGGGAATGCTCATATTAAGTTTTTCTATCCATGCACCAATTATCATAATTCTTTTGCTCTCAATGGCTGAGATCTGAGGGGGGGGGGGTGTGGAATTAGTCATTTCAAAGAAAGCAAGTCATGTAGGATTTCTAAAGATCAGTCAATTGACTAAGTTTTGGAACTAAAGAGTGCTAAGGACAAAATCGTGTTTTTCAGAACAAAAGGTTGTGCATAGTTTTTTTCACCGTTTTCTCAAAAAGTGTACAAATGTCAATAGGTTAGGTTTTGAACTTTCTTCTTGAGTGAGTGGTACATGTTAATATTGGAAATGAAAAAAATAAATAAACAGCAAATGAACCTACGTCTTTTATCATAATTTTTAAACTTGACAATAATTAGACCACGAGTGTCAGTGTTTTAGTAACAGAGGATCAATAATATAACAAAGGAATGCCTTTAATTGTCACAATTCATTTGAATAGCTTGACTTGCGGTTGGATTAATTTGACTTTTGATGAATTGTGAGGACTTGTTATGTATTGACCTCAACTCTGCAGGACACCAAGTCAGTTGTTGAAAACAATAAATCTTTTACAAATTTAGAAAAAGTACAGCATCGTATCTAGTTTTAAATTGATAGAGTGATAGAGTCGTAAGAGAGGAGATGTAGAAATTCATAACTTTGAAACCTTCATTGTTATGTCTGTTTTACCCAAGACATTGATGACTGTAGTCCTGATCCATGTTTCAACGATGGAAGCTGCACGGATGACATCAACGGCTTCACCTGCCATTGCCCAGAAGGATTTGAGGGAAATGTCTGCTTAATAAGTAAGGCCCGCTTCAAACGTCAAACTTCTGCTGTGTCTAATTCAAATAATGGCCCAAACTTTGAATTATATATCATCATTCATCATTCATTCGGCTGCGGAGCAGGCGACCACAAGTTTCCTCCAGTTGCTGCGATCCTGGGCTAAGGATGTAATTTGGTCCGGTTGCAGGTAACCCTCATGGTCTCCAAGAAGGCTCTTGATATATCTTGAATATAATGTTCGCTGTCGGCCAGGCTTTCTTTTACCATGCGGTGGAGTGTACAGTGCATAAACCTTCGCCGGCTCATCGTTGGGCATGCGCAGAACATGCCCCAGGAATTTCAGCTAATTTCAGAGACTATATATACACGGCAGAAAGTCGATGTTTGAAGCAATCTGCCGAAAGTTCGACAGTTCTTGCCACTCTGAGCTCTGTGAGCCCCCCTCCCAAAGCCAAATCCTGGGTGCGCCACTGAATTGAGTACATCTATGTAAACAATGATGTAACCTCAATCCTGCAAAATCCTCCAACTGCCACCATGTAAAAATAGCATACAGCCTCAATCCTGCAAAATTCTGCGTTTTTGGTGACCACTGCAAAATCCTCTGGCAAATATATTGAGGCAGAGCCAGTGACATCCTGGAGCAGGGCAAAGGATTTCAAGTGTAATATAGGCCTTTATGTATGCACAGCTCGACATAAACAGCTCAAGGTCCGGCCCAAGACCTTTATTGACAGAGTGCATCCTCCAAATCAGCAACACAAATTTGCCATGTAACCTCATTCCTCAATAAACGAAAAATGTGATTTAAAAACAGCTGTTATACTTGGTATGTCCTATATGTTTTCTTGATAAGTTGTTTTCTCAAATGGATATACCATGTTTTTGGATATAGACTTAAGGCCCGTTCTTCATTTACAGATATCGATGACTGTTCACCGCAATCCTGTTTGAACGATGCGACCTGTGTCGACGGTATAAATGACTTTACGTGTGAATGCGCTGACGGATTTGAAGGGCCGGACTGTGCAACAGGTAAGAGACTAATGAAAGTATTTTGTGATTTTATTTTGTGTTCACATTTTCAATTTGCAGTTGTTGAATGTGTATCCAAACAAGATCTTAATGTTGATACGTTTATTTATGTTGGCCTCCGTGGAGTTTTCTTTGAGCCATTGACATTTAATGTTTGATCTTGGTTGGGAAAAAACCTTGCTCGTTGCTTTCTGTAGGCTCTAAGCTTTATTTTTCTGATTTTCCTCAATGTTTCAGATGTGAGTTAGCAATTAGGATCAATAAAACAATTCGCTCATAATCGTGTCAATTAACCCTTTAGCACTTGTATATATTACATTGTATCACACTGTAAGCCGTAGATGGTTGGGGTGTTTTTGGGCGGTATAAGGAGTAACACGCAATCCGATTTGAGGCGGCAGCTTCAGGGCCTAATGGGTACAGCATTTATAAGTTCAATGTTGCATTCTTAATCCTAGATATTGATGACTGTAGTCCTAACCCCTGTATGAACAACGGAACATGCACAGATGGTATCAATGGATTCACGTGTGAATGTGTGGCAGGATATGATGGGAATATCTGCTCCACAGGTAAGTCCATGCCTCAGAAAACAAAGCAATGAATTTCTTGGACCGACCTTGATCATTTTGGCAATGATGACAAGCTTTTACGACAATCACATTCAGCTGTAAAATAGTCCACTTTTAGTCTGTACTCCCATGAAGGAATCCATGGTACTTCGCAACCTACACAAACTAAAAATGACTGCGTAATTTGTTGTTTAAATCACAGACTCATGCATTGTGAAACGTGTGAAATATGCCTTGCAAATGCTGTGAAACAGTGATTGTTGTGCAATTCATGCAATGAAATGTATGTGGGGATCTGCCATCGCGTGAAGTTTTGGGAAATCGGCTGCTGGTCATTTTAGCTGCAAACCTTGCCATCATACAAGAAACCTCCCCAATCATGTGCAATCCACTTATGTGCAGTTTTCTGTGCCTGAATGTTGTACAAAAAGCCCTTATATCTTTAATCCACCTTTTTTTTATTGGAAGGACTAATAGAGATGTAATATATATTTAGATGACAACAGGAAATAACTTTGAAAAAAAAATGTGCACAGGTTTTAGCTATCAATTATCACTGTAGTTTGATTTAGTGAAATAATTTTTTGGGGAAAATATAGGACTTAATTTTGCAATTGCTTGTGAGCTCAAATTTGCCACTTTCAAAGCCAACCAAAAGTCAAAGTATGTCATTTATCTGGAACTAATTTTTCAAACTTTAATATGCTGCAAACAAGTGGTATCCAAAAATAGCGTCAGCGTTACATGTCGTTATAATTAAGTAATTCTGTCACGATTCTTTGATACGCTTGTTTCCTTTCTAGACGTTGACGATTGTGATCCCAACCCTTGTCTGAATGGAGGGATGTGTTCTGATGGCGTAGTAAGCTATACATGTACATGTGCACCAGGATACGTGGATATCAACTGTACAACAAGTGAGTCTCAAACAGTAATACCGTATCACGAACCGGGAAAGTACTTCACAAAACTCTCCAAGAAAATGCATCTCTTTTCTTCATAAATTCCACCTCCATTACTCAAATCATTTTGTTTAAATTTTTGCATATACTCTCGGGTTTTCAGCCTGTTGTCTTCTCATTTACTTGTCTCTTGTAGACTAATGCATTCTTAAAGACAAAGAGCGTGATTTGTATTCGTGTAAGGAGCCAGGAGTGCTTGCATACTACTTGAGTACAAGTCTGGTTCCCCTTAAAAAATGGCTTCTAATTTTGTTGGATGAATTAGTCTTTAATGCACACACAGTATTAATACTGCACCAGAAATCTGAAAGGAACTTCACAAAACTCTCCAAGGATAGATTTTGCAACTTTTTTCTTCCCCAATTCCACCTCCAGGGTACTAGATCCAGGCTCAATCAAGGGTGGATCCAGAAACAGTTTTAATATTTTTGGGAGGGGGGATTTTTAGAAGTTTTAGAAGTACTTGGTCCCACTTCTCTGAAAACTACAAAAAAACAATAACCTCATCAAGACTTCAGAAATTGCAGATTTTACTGTAATTGCCTTCAGAAAACTTTACCTAATCATTTGGAGTTGTTTTGAATTAATGCAATAACCTTCTTTTGTCATTTGAATGCATTCAGATATCGATGATTGTGAACCCGACCCTTGTCTAAATGGAGGAACGTGTTCTGATGGTGTCGATAGCTACACTTGCACATGTGCACCAGGGTACACAGATAGTCGCTGTTCCTCTGGTAAGGGCACATATGAAATAACAATTTCCTTCCATTCATTTATACTTACACCTGTGAGTCGTAATGTTTAGAAATGGAATATTTTTCTGTTTATTTTCTTTGATCTATACATTTTGTTACTTTGGAAAGAATGTAGTATCCAGACGCCACTTCTTTGGTTGTGTACAAAGTCTATGGAGAGTTGAGTTCATTTTGAAGTGTATTCTAACAACATTGGAAATCTTTCTCAGTCCCAGGTTCATGTCTCTTTGACTGACTGACCTTCATTGAGGTGATGGAAAATGTGGCGTCGAGATGCAACATTAATTCCGTTACTTTTTTTTTATCCAACCTTGTTTGTTTTGCCTTTTTTTTTGTAAAGGATATATTTTTTAACATAAAACAAACATTTGTGCATATCCTGTTCAAATACAAAATACAAATACTCCTTAAATCCACATGAAGACCCCATAATTTGTCGTTTGCACCACGAACCTCCGTATCTCGATTTTTTTCCAAATTGAGTTTTTTGTCAGCAACGTTATTATTTCATCAAAGTGCTCATTCTCAGAAAGTTTTATTCCGAACTGAGTTCTAATTAACTAAGAACGCTAATTAGACTGTGCAGTGTATCTCTAAAAAATAGAAAATGCTGCACCACGAAGTGGCGTCGCCGCCCTACACGCTAATTCCCATAGTGCTATGACGTCACCAAGCAGCGTCGACATGAAAAGTGTGAATTTAACATTTCACGAACCGCATATCTCTGTATCTGGCACGCGGCCACTATTACGCGCATTGTATGACATACGATAAACGTGATAAAAATCTGTTTCACAAAGTGACGAGTATCTTAGGAACTGAATTTATCAAAAACTAAGCCACTCAGATGCACACGGATTGCATACAATAAAGTTCAATCTATAATTTAATCGCAAAAACGAAGCAGCTTGAATTCTTAAACATTTAGTATATGGAATGAGCCTACATAATAATGACCAGCTTTAAATCGGTTTTTCTCAAAACACAAAAAAATGTATACGTCGGTTCGTGGTGCAACTGACAAATTGATCATTCACTTGATCGATCTTTGTATCGGTTATGCAATAAAATTTCAGGTTTAACAAAAACATGACATAGCCATTAATCCAGTAATACTGCCCAAAACCGTGCTCTTAAAGCACTCTACGGTTTTCATAGATTCCTCAGGGGATAAATAAAATGTAATACATTGTAATACCTGCAAGATACTAATGGGCTAATTTCCTGAAACTTTGTCCTTTATTTTCCACCAGATGTAAATGAGTGCGAGGACTTATCGTCCTGCCCACCTGCCAACCGGCCTTGTATTAACTCCATCGGTGGGTTTGCCTGCACCTGCCCGAGTGGTTATGAGTGGAATTCAACACAATGCACAGGTCAGAACCAACACGGATTTAATTGTTTTGTTCTTTTTGCACATTTATTGCACATTTTGCTTTTAATTTAAAAATTCTCCAGGTTCAGTCTTTGGTCTTTGATCACTGTCAGCACGAGCATTATGGAGCATGAGCACTTGGAGGAAATCTTATTAGTTTACTGCAATACAACGAAGTAGGCCTTTAAACGGGAAGAATAGTTCTGGTTTTTGTTCTTCCTTTTTTCCTGGCTGGATTGCAGATCTTCAGTTGGATAAGCATGGAACTTACGCAAAGCACAACGTGATACTTCAGATAAAAGTTCTTTTTTTTTTTAGTCTCAAGTCAAGGAATGGATCCTCAAAAAAAAAACTTTTGAGAGAATATTCTGCAACAAATTTTAGCCATAACCCCCCCAAAAGAAATTGACAAGCTACTCAGCACAGTTTTCCTTGTAGGTTGTAGCCAGTGTCACCAGAGATGAAAGATTAGAAATGTACGATTGCAAATTGGACCTGAACTTAAAGGCTCAACACTTTGATCAATGTCAACAAATCCAATATGACATTTGTTCCCTTAATACACAGATGTGGATGAATGTTTAGCTGATGACGCTCCTTGCCCCGACACGGTGCCTTGTCAGAACACAGAGGGTAGTTTTACCTGTCTGTGCAACCAGGGCTTTGCCTGGGATGGTGGGAGCTGTTCAGGTAGGTTCAGTACCGGTTTTTCACGGCGGTCACTCATTTTCCGCACAATAAAAAAGTGGGGGGCGTGGCGGGGGGGGGGGGGGACTTAACATCATATCTTCCTATGAGATGCCCTTAAAGCGGTCCCAATTTCTGACAATAGGCGGCACTTAATTTTCATGGAGGCACAATTAAAGATGACGATCAAGTGACGTTGGAAAAGGGACTATCGTCGTGAAAAAGAACTACCAAAATTGTCAGGGGGAGGGGGAATGGGCACCATTTAAATATCGGAGGCGCTGTTCAAGCGGACAGTTTAAGACACCATTAGACAATTATTCACTGGCCAAGCTAATTCTGATCAAGGACTTCGTTTTAATTGTTCCCTGATTTTCTTAGATGTGGATGAGTGTTTAGATGCACTGTGTGCAGATACCGCAACTTGTGTCAATCAGCCTGGTGGTTATAGCTGCGTGTGCCCTGCTGGATATCTCTGGAATGGAACATCCTGTGAAGGTAAACATTGAAATCTTCTTTTTGAACTTAAAATCCTGAAGACAGTAGTTCTCAATTTCATTTAAGTGTCCCAAAACCATTTGCATTATGTGAGAGGACTCTGGGGGATGGGGTCGGGTATGTTCCAAGTATCCCCTCAGCTGTTACAAGAGAGAGTGAAGGATTTTTGGGATCGTTTGCATTTATCCCAAAAGTTATCTCTTTCCGAATTATATTTTGAAAATGTTACGTGTACTTAGATTAAAGAGTGAACCTGTACAAAACACCCTGTGAACTTATTCCGTCTGGCTTGCTGTCATTTAGAAGAAATCAAGAAATGCTGGCGATTTCCAACGATCAGACAGTTAACAGATATTTTTGAATAAAGAGTCATTACAACATTTCGTAATCAAAAGGTTGTGTATGGTTGCTCACTGTTTTGTACAATACAGTTATATCCCCTGAGCCGAAACAGGTTAGGTTTTGAAACACATTTCTTTGGGTGATGCGTGGTGTATTATTGGAAACAAACAAAATTCACAAACAGTAAATGACCTTATTAAACTTTTGCTATTGGCTCGTTACAAAATATTGGGTGGGGGGTTTTATGTAAATGACTTTTGAAGGATACCAAAGAAAATCCTGAAATTATGCAAATTTCATAAGAATAGCGATATGGCCGAGTGTCATTTTGTTTCCATTATTTTGAAGATATTGACGAGTGCGAACAGGAGAGCCCAGTCTGTCCATCCACGTCGCCTTGTCAGAACACGATGGGGAGCTATACTTGTATCTGCTCTGCAGGCTATGCATGGAATGGGACTCAGTGTACAGGTATATCGTTTGTTTGTTTGTCCACCAGTCTATGTTCAGTAATGGAAATTGTGTCTGTTCTGAAAGTGGGTTTAAATGGAATGGGGTTCTATCAGCGGGGGCGATTTCTTGTCAACCTTGGGGGTGGGGGACAGTGGACTAGTAACTAGGGAAATCGGAAAGTGGGGAGTGCATGTGGATGGGGACATGGCCATTGGTGTCAAACATTACTGGGGGTGGGTGGGGGACACATGTCCCCATACCCCCAATCATCATTGATTCTCTCCTGTGCCACAAGGGTTTTTCTCTGGGGTCTTCAGTTTACTTCCCTCTGCAAAAATCAACACTTGTGATCTTGACTGTGCTCTGTCTTGTAAGACATGGGTCGTTTGGCGGCTGCCTTAGCACCATTACATGCATTCGGCTCCACATTGTAGCAGCATCCTTTCGCAATTCAGCCTTTGCTAAAGGACAAATAGCCCCCAAATTTATATTCCCATTCAGTTCTATAATGTTAAGATGTTGCCTTTGTAACGCTGTTACAATTTTGAGTCTTTATATTTTATTTTTGGCAGATGTGGATGAATGTCAAAGTTCTGAGCCTGTGTGCCCGTCATTGGCTTCTTGTACCAACACTCAGGGCTCGTTCAGATGCCATTGTCAAGATGGATACACACTCACCGGACAGCCGGGATCCAGTTTGTATTTCTGCATGGATATTGATGAGTGTCAGGATGTAGCGTTGTATGATTGCCATAGCAACGCTACATGCATCAATGAGCCTGGTGCCTACCGTTGCATGTGCTCAGAGACGCAAGGTTACCGCGGCGATGGGACAGTCTGTACTCGTAAGTTGTTTTCCTTTTTGCAAACCATCTTAAGAGCAAGAAATTGGATTGGAGATCCTATGGACTCCATGTACCAACAAAAGGGCATGTTTTTACCACTTTTGAGAGCCCCGTCGACAAAGTACACAAGACTTCCTGGATGTTTAAAGCTATTAGCCACAGCATCTTCGCGTGAGCGTCAGGCATCGACGGCGCATGAATACGTTCAAATTTAACTTGCGATGGTTTCCCAGACTACTCCCCACCCCCAATAACTTTGGATCATTCAAAGTACGCAGTGAAACTGGAACCAGTCTAGGTCTTCCCCAACTTTCCTTTTCTGGCCATTGAAGGAGTATAGCCCCCCCCCCCTACTTGTGCACGGAGCCCATAGGGTGTTAGCGAATCTCCAACAGGGATTTTCCATCCATTTTGTTTCAAATGCTTGACAATCAGATGAGAACAGCACACCTTCCCCGCCCCCCCCCCCCCAAAAAAGATTATCCAGTTCGTAAGTGTGATCTCAGTTCATTTGAACCACGCCCACTTGCCATTAGGGAGCACTGGATCCATTGGAACTGGAAGCTAATGCAACTTGAGTGTTTATCAAAAGGGCACTAGTTATCAGTGGTGCGCGCGTGTGTATGACGTTTTTACTAACGAACCGGATAGTCAAGCCCAGTAAAGCCAGTCCCAAAATCCACAAAATTTATTTCAATTGATGCAAAATGGCTATTCAAGTCTTTTCATGCATCTGGTGTACATGCAGTGGGCCTGCCCAGTCATTGGTGTTATGGGGTGATCCTGTACAATGGCACTGCCCGGCAACCTTCACCAGTATACAACCAGTCTAAGTTACAAGTGAAAGTCAGTCAGTCTGTGAGTCAATCTCTCAGTCAGTGAGATAGATACAAAGCGGATAGTATGCTGGCTCTCTGGGATCAGCAAATGAGGATATTACCTTCAAGTATAAATCTAAAGCATCGTAATTGTAAAAAAAAAAGGTAAAGATGCCCCTGTGTTAACAGGGAACGGAGTGCCCATCTCTCTTTCTTTAGTGATTGGGCCAGACTCATATGCTGCTGCAGGGCATCGCCACACCTCCTCCACAGCGAGTCTGTTACCTTCCAAGCATTGAATAATGCCGGTACCCATTCAACACCTGGGTTGAGAGGAGTAATTGAGGTAAAACGCCTTACTCGAGGGCACAACACGCATGGCCACGGCGGGGTTCGAATCCATAAACTCGCGATCATGAATCCTGTGCTCAACCGCTAGACCACACTTGCCCATGTAATGGACTTTGCATATTATATTATTCTTTTTTGCAGCATTTGATCTGTGTGAGAGCGGACCTTGCTTGAATCAAGGCCAGTGCACCTCATCCGTAGGAAGTGGCAGCTATGAGTGTGTGTGTACAGAGGATTTTACAGGAGTCAACTGTGGCATCAGAGTAGTACTTCAAGGTATGTGCTCAGTTAGGGATGTAAAGTACATTTGCTATCCTACTTTTTTTTGGGTGGGAGCATTTCAACACAAACGTCTTGTTTAAGAATGTGATTCTAGGGCAGGGTATCTGAACCGTAGGATCAAGGGAGAATGGAGATGTTTTGGAAGGTACAAAGAATTACTAACCGACTAGAAAATTCCAATATCATTCAGAAGAAGGATTTACAACCAGTGTGTCCAAACGACGGTGACTTATGGGGCAGAGACATGGGCAACAACCAAAGATATGGAACACAAATTGATAACAACACAGAGAGCTATGGGAAGGAGAAAGCTCAATCTATCATTACGGGACAAAATCAGACATACCATGACAAAAAACAAAGGTCAAAGATATTATAGAGAAGATCAAGGAAATGAAAATGGAGATGGACAGGGCACCTTGCGAGAACACAAGACGACAGATGGACCAAGAGACTCACAAAATGGCAACCAAGGACAGTCACAAGAAGAAGAGGCAGACAAAAAAGGAGATGGAAAGATGAAATCACCACATACATGAACACGGCAACATGGAGTAGAATGACAAGTGACAGAAGAGAATGGAAACTGCTCGAGGAGGGCTTCATCCAACAATGGATGACCACAGCCTGATGATGATGATGATGATGATGATCTGAATCGGGTAGCCGACCACTAGTGTCAGGAACCAGTTCCAGAATATGGAATCGAGTACCCGTAGCCAATTTATATATAGTAATTTTTCAGACAACGAAAAAAAGGAATGTCATTTGTGGGAAATATTCAAGTCAAAAACCAGTCTACATGGAAAAACAAAAAAGATTTACCTTTAGGATATGCTTGCAAAAATGTAATTTATACCGTAGAGCTATAAGAGCTCGGTGCACACACTTGTCTCTTGCTGCATAGTGCACCGATGTGGTAGTATGAACTGGCGGACCTTTACAACAATCTAAACAGCAACTTCTGAGATTTAAATTTTGGGGTTGGGCTTCTTTGACCTTAACAAGTTTGGCTATAAAGCCTTAAAAGGATCATGAGAAGTATGCAAAATAGTCAATTATTCAAGATGTAATTTACGCCACCTAAAATGACTGTAAGTTAAATGCTATTATAATTATTATTGCCTAATAGACACTGTGAAACTTTCGTGTAACAAATCGTAATTGAAATGCTACGCAAAATGTTTTATTGCACCACTCTGGCATGAAAATGTGGTGTTACATTTCGTAAAATTGGCTGCTTAAGGGCCCTGTCACACTTCTGCGTATCCCAATTCCTTATGAGTTGCGCATTGACATTTTTTTCATACGCAGTCGTACGCACAATACGCACCTCATATGCATCTCTATCGTTTTGTGTAAGTTTTATGTACGCAGGCATACGCATGGTACGGCCCAGTGCGCTGGACAGTTTTGGGCATGCACAAAACTACGCTGCGTACGCTGTTACGCAGGTCATAAGTTATAAATACGCAGCGCATCGGTCCCGCATCTGTCGAGCACGGTACGAGTACGCTATGGGTTCGTGGGGGATAAGCGGTTCATACGCAGTAATACGCTGACCTCCCGGCACGCACCCCGTCAGCATATGAGCCGCCTATAATTGGACGTATACATAGCGTACTTGCAGCGCACGCTGAACGAACTCATAGCGAATGCCGACGTATTGCGTCAGGCGTGCGGTCGGCATAAGTCGGGTGCGTCCGGAATACGCTCAGCATGTGCACTGCATACTGACCTATTCGCAGCCCGAAAAATAATGTTGTGCACTGCATACGCAACTCATACGCATCTCATACGCAATTGATGCGCTGAATTTGTTACTTGTACGCTAGATGTGCGTCGCACATAAGTCAAAGTATTCAAAAAAATTAGGCGTTTTGAGCGTACGGCTGCGTATTGAAAATTTTTGATAAGGAACTCATAAGGAATTAGGATACGCAAAGGTGTGACAGGGGCTTTACCATTTTCTATTTAAAAAATCACTTCACGTGCTGTTTTGGCAAACTTTTTTCAACATTGTACTCTAAGCCATCCAAAGACTCAAATTATATTTCCAATCGTTTTTTTGTTGCTTTTGTGTTCTGGCACAGGTCCAATCTCTGTCCTGAAGCACCCTGAGCCTAGCCTCATCACAGCATCGCTGTACGACACAGTCACGTTAGAGTGTCAGTTTGAGAATGCCAACAGGTTTGCTTGGTACAGAAACGGAGTGGTGCTGCCCGGTACAAGAGACGTGTCATTTCTTACAATCGCTGGAGTCACTTCGACTGACCGAGGGTACTACTGGTGTGAGGGGAGTGGCTTGCAGGGAGTTACACTACAGACAAATGCTTCCTTGCTGCTGATTGATGGTAACAATTTGCATAAAATTAGCATATTATGTAAACTTGCGAAGTTTATCAAGCATAAATATTTTTTGTCATGCCGTTGCACTTAAAGTTCTCTAGGTTCATTTGCAAATAGTCAAAAATGAAGCTGCCCAAATATATGGAAATCATACTGCTTGATTGTAAGTAATACGATCAAGATCCAGTGAAATTGTTTCGCCGAGTATGATGTCATTTTCAAGAATAGAAAAATAATAATCATTTCCCCGTGATAGTTAGGGCCTATAGCCATAGAGAAAGTGCACTGTCAATAGAAAGGGGGTCCGCTCATAAGTTTGACGCCTCATAGGTCCGACGCCTCAAAAGTCAAAAATTTCGGCCTTTGAGGCGTCAGACTTATGAGAAGTCGGAATTATGAGGCATAAAATTGATTTATTCCGCCTCATAGGTCCGACGCCACATAAGTCCGACGCCTCACAAGCCCGAAACAGCGTTTGTAAATTGTCAGACTTATGAGACGTTGGACCTATGAGGCGTCGGACCTATGAGGCGGAATTTATGCCTCATGAGTCCGACGCCTCATGAGTTGTCGGACCTATGAGTTGTCGGACCTATGAGGCGTCTTACTTACGATATGGCCCCATATAAATGTGTGCATTTTCCAAGTGTTCTCAAAAAGTGTTAACATCCACTGAACTGAAAGTGTAACAGGTTTAATAGTTTTGAACCTTCTTCTTTGGAGTTTGAGTGGTGTTATAATTGTAAATTCAAGAAAACTATATGATCCTATATATGTGCCTAAGTTTAAGCATTGGTGTAGGGCTAGTTATGATACTGACTGTTTGCTTATTTGTTTTCCGTAATTCTTGTATAAATTTGATTTTCTGATTGATCTTGAAATGTAGGTGTTTCTGCCTTCACCTCCGAGGCCAGGTTTCCAACATTGACGTTTGTCGATGAGTTGAGAAACAAAAGCTCGCCAATCTTTAAACAAATATCGGCTGAAATAATAACCTTTGTAAGTATCATAACATTGTTCCACTAGGCAAGAAATACAGATCTACCGTTTCATTTGTAGACAGCATAAAGAAATCCATGCCAAACCATATTTTGTATAAGCAACACAAATATATTCTTTAATGTCCATGAATTGTAACAAATAAACTGTAAAAAAAAAAAAAAAAAAAAAAAAAAAATCAGTGCCATCCCAAATCTCCAGGGAAGATCCTTGCCACAATTGGATGCATAACTTTTTCAAGTCAGTTTTACACTTTTCTCGGCATAAAAAAAATGCACTTTCAGATTGCCATCTTTATCTCTCCTTCTAAGTTAGTCATAAATGTCTTTAGATTAAAAAAACCCATTCTGTTGAATTTAATTCAGTTTAATTTGACCAATTGATGACATGTTATTTGACTTTTTTGCGTCCTACCTATGTAATGTACTTGTAAATCCTCTCCTTAAAGACAATTTCCCAATATTCCAGACAGAAAAAACGGAAAACGGTTTTTCCAGCATGTGCATAACCCCTAAAACAGATTGGTTTCTTCTTTTCTTCCTAAGCTCTCGGAGGGTTTACAATCTGAGGGGGTTCAGGCAAACATTGCTGTCAAAGAGCTGAACAGTGGAAGTGTAGTGGCAACGACTGAAATCCTAACCAATGCCGGAGGGACAAACAGTGATGACTCCGAGTTATTGAGCATTGTCCAGGATGCACTGGTTGGCATAGCAACCGCCTCAGATGGATACATGGATCCATCTTCTATCACACTTGAGAGCAGCGGTAAGAAACCGTGGAACACTGAAATCCCAGGATGGTATCTGATGCGATTTTTATATCATGTAATAAATTTATATCACATAGAATTGATTTACTGAGTACATTGCACAATCGTAACTTCTTTATGTGGGATTTTACATCGGTAGTCTGAGTATCACCCGTTGTCCAAAGGAGTAGTGGCGCACCCAGGAATTGGCTTTTTTTTGGGGGGGGGGCTCACAATTTGTTTTTAATTTTTTGGGGGGGGGAACGGACTATTGTGACGTTTTTGGCGCCATTTACACCCCTATTATATTACTCGAAAATAGGCCGTATCACTACGGTCAAATCATGGAACTAAAAAAAAATGACAAAATTTTTTTTAAAAATGACAACCTCTTGGGGGGGGGGGGGGGCTCAAGCCACCCGAGCCCCCCTTGGGCGCACCACTGCAAAGGAGCCGTCTCCATAACCAACGTCCGATATTATTTGAGCAATGCAAATGTTATGCGAGCCCGCTCGCCAGCCAATCGCAGTCGACTTTAGAAGTTGTGACGTCGTTCAATCAGAAATGAGGACTACGCTGTTGATTGGTCAATTTTTTGGCTGCCATGTTTTTGTATAACACTAATGGGTTACCGAAGACCCGATAGAAGGCGCCTGCAGTTTTGCTTTACATACTTAATCACCGAATCTGCTCGCATATTATAGATCCTTCTTGTGAAAGGGGATATGCCATAGACTGGTGGTCGTTTTGGTAAGACTAAAATGAAATATTGGTTTTGCCCTTTAAAGCTATAGTCCATCATTTGTAATTTGTGCATTTTGTTCGTTTGAAGCAACAAAAGGGTTCAAAATCTAATGAAGGATACTGAACAACTAACCTGATGAAGTTTTAGCTATAGCTTCAGCTGTACATATCGAGAAAAACAGCATTCTAAGATCTCAATTTCAAATCAAAAGTTACTGAATCATGTTTTGAATTGTTTTGAATTGCAGCCATACGCGACATAGCGCACTGATCCGACGAATTATAACAACCGCGCGCGCGTGTGCGTCGTTCCAATACTTGTGCGCGCTGCGCTGAATAACAAAACGAACTACTTATTTAAATTTTCCTACGGTGCTTCTTAAGAATCACCGTTGGAAATGCCTTCTTTCGTTGATTACTTCAAAATGACAGCTTCCCAGAAGGAATAATTTCACAGGGAGTTTAGTTCCCTTACTATCTTTCAACCAAGTTTGTTTTTCAACAATAATTACGCCAGTTACTTTTCAGATGGCTGCAAATGATGGACTATAGCTTTAAGGATTTCATTCTATAACTCCAGCATATACCAGTGGCCTATGCAGGTTTTTGATCAGGAGGCGGCAAATGGGTGATATTTGAAGACTCTCTTTCACAGTTTTAAAAACAAATATAAATCGCAAATATAGAAACATATTTAGAGAGTATAGTTCATTAGCTTTTTTTGCTAGCCATGAAAAAATCTTTTTAATCAACTAGATATTGTATTGAGTTTTATAATATGACTATTTGAAATCAAGTGCCGCTTTTCATTTTGTCCACGGCGACTGATATTTGACTTCACCATGTGCCGAAACTGGAGATTCCGAGTCGAGTTCAACAAACAGTCCTTTTCAGACTTCTACTTCTTCAAAAAGACCATTGGAAAATGACCATTGTTGCAAATTTGCAACAACGTTCATTTATAGGAAAGAAAAAAAGAACCAAGTAATGAAAGAAGGATTATAACGTTAAAGAAAGCAAGTCTACCTCACTGCAAATCCATTACATTCCTAACAAATGACAATTGAGACTGTGGACAAAATGAAAAATTGGTACTTTGCCCATAACTCAATAAATAATTTAAAAATATTTACCCGATGGGAAAGATTGTTCCTATTTGAAAAGCTAATGAACTATCTCTTCAAATATGTATAGATGATTGCGATGTATTTGAAAAGCTATGAAGAAGAGGACACTTTTAGGGTCCATCTTTTTTTTGGGGGGGGGACACCCTGTATTTCAGCATGGAATAAATCTTGCATACTTCGCACCATACGAATAAGAAACATAAGCACCAGCTACTGTTCATGGATTTTAAAATTACTTTTTTTTGCGATAGAATATAAAATCAACTTCTGGCAGCTAATTTTCATCATAATATCATTTGCAGGGAGTTGTGTCGAGACTAGGTGGCCCACCATCTATGGCACCATTACTCTCCCAGCTGTACCCCTCGGTGAGGACACAGTATCCAACTCGGATCGTGTGTGCCCTGATTATACCATCAATAGTAAGTTCCTGACCTTTGAATCCTACAATTAATATTCACATTGTATAGCTATTTTACATATATGCAGTGATGTGGCAGCGTGGTTAAGGGCATTGGATTTGTATTCTACGGGTAAAGCTGCAGGTTGTGGGTTTGAGTCCTGCCTGGGGTCATGGTGCGTGTGTCCTTGGGCAAGGCACTTTGTCACTCATGGCTTCTCTCCACCCAGGAGTGAATGGGTACCTGTGAGGGCAGAGATGGTTAAAAGCTTCCTTGCGCCTAACAGGCAGCATCGAGCTTTATACTCCCCAGGGAGCTGAGATGGTGTTGGGAATGTTTCATGGGCCTAATGAGCAGGGGCAATAATAATAATGTAGTGCCTTGAGCACCAGTCCTGGTGGACTCATGCGCTTTATAAATACCCACAAAATGGTAATTTAGGTTCAGTAGTGTCATTCACTGACAAAAATAATACGGGAAAGGAATTCAACAGCAGATTTTTTTTTTTACCTGCAATTTCATTTCAAGAAAAACAACTTGAATCTGCATCAGTATATGCTTTTTGGGAACATGCTCTCACGAACAGTTAATCTCGAGAACATTTCCTAATCTTTTACTAATCATCTATGTTTGCCCATTGCAACTTCCAATTACAGCAAATTAATATGTACACTCCATTCTTCACTCAATCCAAGGTGGTCAGCCCATAGCCTATGCTGTTTGTGTTGGAGATGGCTTCTCTCCGGCACAGTGGCTGGTTGAGTTGCAGTGCGGCCGAAACTTGACAGTTGATGAAAAGCTAGCTCTCTTGAACAGGGTGAGGCCATCGTCCAGTAGCGTAGTAAGAACAATTTCATGGGGGGGGGGGGTTACCAAAATATTTTTCCTGATATTTTGATATTTTGATATGTCAGACAGCTGTGTTGATGGTTTCAACCACATCCGCATACATTGTACAGTGTGTACAGTGGTGCACCTGGGGGGCACAATTTTACCTTTGGTGATATGTATGTGGCCTATTTTCGAGTAGTATAATAGGGGTGCAAGTGGCGCCACCAAACGTCAAAATAGTCTGCCCTCCGAAAAAAACTCCAATGTTTTTCTGCGGCCAAAAATTTTGGGCAACATTTTTTGAAAAAAATTTGAGCCCCCCCTCCCCAAAATGCTGAGTGCGCATATGAAGAGAAAATATAGAGAATATTTTCATATCTCAGGGCCCTTAACTTATCATACAGAATGAATATTAATGTGGGACCATCGTGACGAAATTCCAGAAGTTCAAAGGGGAAGAATTCTCCTTTAATATTTTTAGTTGTTATTCTTAATCTTAAAATATCCCTCAACTTCATTGAATAGGTGGAAGTTAACGATGAAAATGTGATGGTGGTGGCGTTGCAAGTCATGGCCCTGACTGAAGATGCCGAGATGCTGAGTGATGCAGGAGTCGCATCAACCGCCGACATCATGACGAAAATTGCTGACGTGAACTCATCTACTTCACAGGTACAAATTATTCTGGTTGTTTGGGTCTTATTAGGCCGATGCACTGCTGGGAGTGGGGTTGGGTTGGGGCTATGGCACCCCAGCGAAAATGCCTAGAAAATGATAGTAGGTACTACAGGGTGAGTAAAAAAACAAACGAACCCAAATGTCGGAACTATTGTTTTATTGAAGTTCTGCATGTAGCACTTTCAAAATCTAGGATATAAAAGCCCAATTCATAAGCTTTCTTTTAGTCTAAGAATCGTTCAAATCACTCATGTACTTTTCAAGTTACAGAATTCTAAACACAACCACCGTTTTAATTTTCTGTCCACGGATCACAAAAAAAAGGTGTGCGTTCTTTCAGCAAAACGAAAACAATTCACACACATCCCTATGTGATTTCTTTTCGTTTCGCTGAAAGAACACTGAACTTTTTTGTGATCCATGGACAGAACCTAAAAGTGGTGGTTGTGTTTAAAATTCCGTAACTTGAAAAGTACATGAGTGATTTAAATGATTCTTGTACTAAATAAAAGCTTATGAATTGAGCTTTCATATCCTTGATTTTAAGAGTGCTATATGCAGAACTTCTCTAAAACAATGGTCCCAACATTTGGGTTTCGTTACTTTGGACTCACCCTGTATTAGAAATGATACGCAAACGGGACATGTTTGCGGCTCAGAAAAAACTAGCTTGTTATGTCACCATTTTGTGTGGTTATTTGACCAGATTCACACACATACAAAACATGCAACATGGTAAATTAACAACCAACTTTTTCCAAACCGCATACGCATTGTAATTGACAATAGTAGTTTTTTTTTGGGCAAATCCTTGGTTTTAATTATTCTTTGGTAATGAGCCAATGACTTTTTTTAAAGTGCATATAGGCACTGTTACACTTGAAGCCATAAGATGCCTGAGGAAGAAGACAATTAAAAAAAAACTGCACAGTTTAAACGGTGGGAGGAAAACCCTGGACAAATAATTTTAAAAAACCCATTGAGTCAGTTTGAGACTGAAAACCTAATTCACATGTGGGCCTATGAGGGATTTGAAATAGAGGTGGAAGACTATAGGCAAGGGAAGGGCCGCTGTACAAAACTGACTCTTGCTTGCAAAAAAAAACCACACAAAAATTGCCTGGTTAGTGGTGACACTGTCCATCATTCACTTTGAAAAGGGTCTTGGCTACACGTGGCTTCAACTGCTTCTCATATATGCACATGTGTCATTGCTAGCCATTGGAATGACACAAGTAATTTGGACGGGGTCTAAGATGATGTCCGTGCAGCCCCCTCCCTGACTGCTTTTCGTTTCTGCGATGGCCGGGTAACAGGGCAAATAGTTCTGGCCACATTATACTGCCCTGAGTGATCTGTCAGTTAGTTTGACCACGAACTCGTTTCAATTTGTTCTGGCAACATTTGTTGTCGTCATGTATCTCTGATCCCAATTGATTCACTTATGTGTTAAAAGTCAGGTTTGTGCAGTGGTCCTTTCCTCGCCTTCCAACTCTATGGTCCGGGTACGATTCCTGCCCTGGTCCACACGTGGATTGGGTTTTTCAGTCCCTAGTTCTGTGGGTTTTCCCCAGAATGTTTTTTTTGGGTTAAATTTCTTTCACTAGACCATATCATTTCTTCATTATGTTCGTTTGACAGGAATCTTCCTTCAGGCTTGTGAGCCACGTCAGTGCCAGGGGGGGTGTTTTTAAAGCTTCCAATAGTAACAATAAGACTCGGCAGGTTATAATGGTAGCCTTTTCGTCTTGAAAACATTGTTTTCTAGGTAACAGAGACCGTGGTAGACACTGTCGGCAACCTGATGTTTATCAGCGATGAAGTCTTGCAAGAAGCCGAAGTCCGAGAGAACGCTCCAAGCAGAATTGTCAGAGTATTAGAGCGACAACTTGGCGAGGTCTCGCTGGCAGGAGATGTGTCGTTTCGGGAAGTCCACCCTAACATTGCTGTGGAGGTCCGCGGAGTGACCGAATCCACCCTCTTGAATGGGCTGGGGTTTGCGTCTGCTAATTCCTCGTCGTCGGGGTTATTTGGAGAGTCCAGCCTGATGGTGATGGAAGGAGAAGACGAGCTGTTCCAAGGAGCTTCAGAGAGTGAGATGCCTAGTGCTGTACTTATGCTGCCTCCGGAAGTCAACATCCTTGCAAGACGTATGTATCATATATGTGAGGCGTTCTGGCAAATGCGAGCAGAGGTCGAAATGAGGGTTTGCTTGTATTAGGAAAGAGAACGAAATTCTCCTACGATACTGTTTGTTGCACTCCGATCCGATATTCCGTTGACAACTTATGTAAAAAAAAAAGGGCCCGTAAAGTTTTGGCTGTGTTGTAGTCATGAAAATGAAAGATGCCAATTGTTTTTCTATAAAAACACTCTTTATTTCACGATCTTTATACTATTTCCTTTAAACAGGCCTATGTGTAGTAGACATATCAAAGATTACAAATATCAATAAATCGGAAATTGTCTCATTTTGCCAGAAACCTCCACAAAATTGATCAGAATTGTCTGATTCTCTAAGGAATAGCTTTCAGCAAGATTTGAACACGCAACCTTCAAAAGTGAGCATGATGACTTTGAATATTTTTGATGACATTTGTTATCAGGAGAAGTCGGCGGTGGCATCCGCGTGAGTTTCTCCGTCTTCAGAAAACGGAATCTCTTCCAGTCGCCGTCGCTGGCAGACTTTAACAAGGGAGAGGACCGATTCAACCGGACCATCAACACGCGTGTCATGTCTGCCACCGTGGGTAGCCAACCAATCACAAACCTGAATGAGCCTGTTACGATACTACTCAGCAGACTTGATGTGAGTCTGTTTATTGTGGAATTTCCATGCACTGAAGGTTAAAGGTACAGGGAGGACGAACCTGTGTTCACAGGAACGGAGTGTCCATCTCTCTTTCAAAGCGATTGGGCCAGACTCGAGTCCATGAAATGCTGTTGTGGGGGGATTGCCACACCTCCTCAACAGCGAGTCTGTTACCTTATTACCTTATGCTGGTACCCATTTAACACCTGGGTTGAGAGGAGTAATTGAGGTAAAGCGTGCCTCACTCAATGGCACAACACGCATGGCCACGGCGGGGCTCGAACCCACAATCTCACGATTATAAATCCTGTGCTCCATCGTTAGACCACACGTGCCCACTGACATCTACATTGCACTGACACCTAGGGGGCGGGGTGGGGGGGGGGGGGGGGGCAAGGGGGCGTCCCCCCCCCCCAAAAAAAGACGAAGACGAGGTGCGAAGTCATATTGATGTTCAGTAAAATGCACATTTAACATTTTGGACATCCGCAGGGTGTCAATGGGAGTGGGGTGGGCAAATGTCCCCCCAACCACCGTCGAAAAAAAAGAGATAAATTGAGAATATGTTAGAGAAAGTACAAGGACTTTGAGAGCTTTGCCCCCCCCCCCCCGCGCCCTCTAGAAAAACTCCTGGCGACGCGCACCCATGACCATATAGTCCTTCAGTCTCAAGTCAAGTCACTAGCTGTTCAAATGAACTGTTACAAAAGCATCCCTTTGTCATTGTTCATCCCGTTACTTGCGACTGGACTTGCGACTGGACTTGTGACTGGACTTAACTTGTGATAGACTCCACTTCAACACTGCAATGTTCACACTCTAAGTGTACGCAAACTTATTTACGTGAACACAGATGTAGCGGCAGCACCGTTGAGTCCCTCTAAATGGTCCCCCAACTCACTCTCTCTTTGTAACTGGGATGGGGGTGCGTGTGCACGAGTTAAGCAAAGATCTTAATACCTTATGTGCCTGATCTATACGTACAAGAAGCATATTTTCTTTTTTTTCTGCTGTAGAATGATTCCTATGTGGACAACACGAGTTGTGTGTTTTGGGAATTTGTCAATGCAAGCTGGTCAAGTGAAGGATGTCGTTTACGTGAAGAGTATATCACTGATCAGTACATTGCTTGTCAGTGTGATCATCTGACCAACTTTGCAGCTCTAATGGTGAGTATAATTCAGATGTGTTGGCTTGGTTTCAATAAACACCAGTCTGCTATTTTTCATCAACAATTTTTTTCCACTTTAAATTTAAATTTCTTAATTTTTTTTGAGTGGATAGAATCCCACTTCGTCAATTTCTTTGTTTATCCTCCTTTACAAATTCTCTCAGAAATCATTTATTAGTCCCTGGCCAGGAGGTCCCCTTGACAAAAACAGTTTAAATTAAATTTCTAGTTGCCTTGCCCATTCAAATACCTTGCTGCTTGTTTTTTTTCTCAATTTTATAGTGCCTTTTGCATTATAATTCACTCGAATCTCTCTTTTATCGAATCTGTATTTTTTAATGCCCATTTGTGCTTTTAAAGTTTTAACTGCTTGTATAGTTCTATATTCTTATACTGTAAGCCATGTTTTAATAATGTCCATTTGTAATGTCTTTTTGTATTGTCTCTTCTTAAATTGTGGCATCAGGAGATTAACTCGATAGTAATTTAGTTTACTTTTTTAAAATCCATCAGGGGTGCTACTTTTTTTTCTCTCTTTTTCTTGTTCTCTCTCCTAACTGTATGTGCATGTTTTTGTTTTCTTTACTGTTCTTATTGTCTGTACTGAATTTTTACCTGTGAAATTAATAAATGAAATGAAATGAAATGAAAAACTATAGGGTTCAGCCTGTTCTCCATCAAACGTGAAATGGGTCAGGTGCTTTGTGGTTCATGTGATGACCAAACTCTGAGTGATTCCCTTTTGCTATTTCCTGCGTTTGCAGCATTACTAATATTGCTGGCACCGTGACCTTTGGGCGTGATCCCAGGCTACATGTCACAGACGAGTTTATGGCTTCTGACAAGTGCCCTTGAACAAAGAGATTGACAACTGGGCTACCACTTAATGTATAGGGCAGGACCACTCAGTTGGGAGAGTTCCTCTCAAGTGTTACGGAGGTCGTATATTCAAACCTTGTATTAATGTACAATTTTTTTTCTGACTAGGACATCTATCCCGAGTCACCTTTGACCGAGACTCAGGAGTTCATCCTCAAGTTGCTGAGTCTGGTTGGATGCGGGATGTCTATCCTAGGACTGGCCGTTACCATGGTTACCTACCTCAGTCACAAGTATGCATTGGCAGTTCTTATATAGAACACCCAGATAGCTTCAATAAAGATTTCCTGAAGTTTTCACTGTATACCCAAGATCTATCCAAGAGTGGAATCAAATTCCAAAAGATATCCACTCCACTCCAGACCAGAATGTCTTCAAGCTTTGGACGGCATCCATTAGCCTGTTGTCTCTGTACGCAAAGTCCCCCCCTCACTCAGTTGCAGTGAGAGAGTTCAGACGGACTAGAATGCTTTACCACTTTCTGCCTGGTGCTCAAGCAAAGACCATTCGGGTTTGTTGGCATGCAGAATAAAATTGTGTGTAGTTGTCACCATATATGGGCCTGAACCTGGACAGGCAGTGCAGTCACTGTGTGGTCCTCTGAACAAAAGATTTCCACACACTGCAGGTAGTGAAGATGTGTGGACTTGCATGCCCATGTCCACACAAAGTTTCCGTCTCTCTGAGAAACAGTTTTAGGGGCATATTTGGCTGGGGGTTATTCATCGCAAAATGAAGAGGAAAGTTCAAGGTAATCATGGTACAACATTTGGGCTGAAAGAGTGTTCACAGCGCAAGTAAAATAGTTTTTCCTCCAGTTTTTCTTAACTACACGAAAACAAAGGGATGTCCACGCTTGGTATGTAAAGTAAACGTGTGCGCACATGCAGCGCATCCGTCCGACAGGGATTCAACAAGTGGTTATCTACTGTTCATACATAATAGGTAATCCACAATGTGAGCAGTATTTTTAAACAAAGTTCAAATGTTCTGTGTTCCCCTTTTATCAGGAAACTTCGCAAGACCCGTCCAAACCGCATCCTGCTGAGTCTGTGCGCCTCTTTGCTGTGTCTCTACATCACCTTTGTGGTTGCCACGGCTCTGGATTCAGAGCGAGGTGTTGCAGAGTTGGATGTGTTGCCGTGCTGCGTCCTGGCCGGCTTCCTGCATTACTTCACGCTGACGTCGCTCTGTTGGATGGGCGTGGAGGGCTTCAACATGTATCTGCTGTTTGTTAGAGTGGTCAATGTGTATGTGCCGAAATTCATGCTGAAAGCATCACTGGCTGCTTGGGGTGAGTGTATCATAGGTCCTTTACTCAGACTTGAAATGAAGGACAAGGGAAACAAATCATTGTGTTTATGCCACAGCCACAGAGGAGTGTTTTATTCCGGATACCAGTGATAGGGCAAACCGGTTGAATTGTCAATTGTAATTGTTTTGTAAAAATAATGGGCAACACCAGGCCCGACCAGAAATGGGCAACACCAGAGGCCCAAAGCCACAGTGGCATACACGATATACTTGACAATAATGAAATACATGTATGAAAATGAGATATATGGCCATTAAAGAAAAATTAAACTTGAATAATAAAAATTAGCTTCCTACTGATGTTACATTCAGTCAGGAAAACGTAGCCTCGGGAAAATTGAGAGCGCTATGGCAAGTATCACATTTGCCTAACAAAATAAAAAAACAAGGGATTTAACTGGTTTCATTTGCCCCATAATCTGAGGAGTAAAATGAAAAAATCTTACTGAAGAACTCTATGTTGTACCACTGTCTTTTGATTACATCATAGTGAGGCATGCTGGGGATTTCCCAGGGGCCAGTGCCAATATTCCCAAGACTTAATATGATTCATCTTGTTGTTAGTGGGCTCTTCTTTTCTTTGTAAACAGAGAGAACTTTTTTGAAGTGTATGTCTTTTCTTTCTTCCACAATTTCTCCTGAGTTTATCCTGTCCTGGAACTCTTGCCTTGGATCGGTCAGACTCGCCGTTTGTCCTAACTACTCATCCTTTCTCATTTTATCTGTGGTTTTCGTTTTCAAGTTGGCAAGCTCTACGGTCGTGACAGAGCAAACTTGTGAACCATTTTGAGTCGTACAGATAGCTTCATGATGGCTCCTTTTTATATTTGCTTTTTTTTTTTAGGAATACCTGCATTGATTGTTGCAATAACTGCTGGGGCTACCAGGGAGGATTACGTTGGAACAGACTTGTGAGTTAATTACCTCCAATTTATGGAGAGAGTTATATTGAATTGTATTTAAATTTTGAATAGTTCAATATCATGTTAGGCAGTTGTATTTGAACGTTTGGTTGATGCTCATATGATGACTTTTGGGGTTTTTTTTGTTACAGTTGTTTCTTGAAGCAGATTCCACTGATAGCTGGTCTCCTAGCCCCGATCGGCCTCATCCTACTCTTCAACATTGTTGTCTTTACGCTGGTAATCCGCCAGTTCATCAAGACATCCAACAACGACCTCCGTAGGAACAGGGACGAAATGTCCAAACGGAAGCTGCACAAGCAGCGTCTGCAGAACGCCCTGACTGTCATGACCCTGATGGGGCTAACCTGGTCCATCGGCTACCTGAATCTCGTCCAAGCAATATCATTCCCCGTCCAGCTAGTCTTCTGTCTGCTGAATACGCTTCAAGGATATTTTATCTTCATGTTGTATGGTGTTCGTCGGGCCGAGGTCAGGAAGCATTGGAGACGCTGCTGCGTCTTCCAAAAAGCCACTTTTTCTTCAGTGCCGACATCCTCCCAGACCCAGAGCTCTACAAATAAACCACAGGCACAGAGGCCATTCAATCCTAACATGATCCCCAGACCTCCATCACAGATCTATCGCCATCGACCTGATTCGATGATGCCCTCAATGTAACATTTTGAGTTTAATTTGAACCAAGTTATGGTTAAGATTCCTCTTGCATGTTCAGTGGCAACGCCAGACTCTAATTTGTATTTTTGTTTGGGGGGGGAGGGAATGGGGGGGGGGGGGAGGGGAAAGGAAATATTGGGAGGGGGGCAGTCAAATAAAATCTTAAGCCCATTGTGTAAGCGCCTGCAGGCCAATTGTCAATGGTCCGGAAATAAGCCACTAGAGCAACTTATAAGTGTAGTCGTTTTTATGAATGAGAAATGTATCAAACCGCAGAATGGTGTATAAAAAATGAATAATAAATGTACAAAGACGTTGGCTGCACACTATCTATAGCTGTATAAATGCATGTGTGGCGTGTTTTGTCTGAAGTACCAATGTTTATAATGCTTTCATTGGCCCAAAATGTGTCCATATTTTATGAATCTTATCAGCGAAGAAAATGACCATAATGAATCTATTTGTTGATAAATTGTTGGGAGAAAACTGGAGGGGGGGGGGGGTTGGCAAATTCCCCCCCCCCCAGCCCCGCCACTGCGCATGTTCGAAAGCAAAGTTTGCATTGCCTCTTGGGCCCCAAAAAGTCTCCGGTTTCTGGTACGGAGCTTGCCCAAAAGTGGTGCGGCGACGCGGCTTTTTTTGCCGTTTTTTTTCCCTTCAAATGTCGGCGGCTGATGACTGCAAATGGTGCCCGACTAAACTTAGTGCAAATATGGGAGCTAGTCCAGAGAGGCCACATAATACTTATTATCGATCGTAACCCCATATAAAACACGTTAAAATTGTGCAGCAGCAGTCAAACCAGTGAGTTTGGCGGTTTTGAGACATCATCTTTCATTTAAGAATAACTTTTTCATTTTGCCGACGCGCATGGCTACGGCGACGCGCGCGCCTACCAGAAACCGGAGAACTTTTTTTGGGCCTTATCCCTTGGTTACTATATTAGTCAGTTATAAGACCCTGTATGTATTTACATTTTAGTGTTGCATAATCCCGGAGGATGTGAAAGTGCCAACAGATTTGCAATGTTTTTGAAATGAATGCCGAAGTTGCCGCAGTAACTTTTCCTATTTTTAAAGTTTAACAGATACATTTATTAACAAAATTGTTGAATGCTGCATGTAATGTAGGATTATGGGTAATGGCATTTTTAGCAACCAAGGGACGCATAGCACCCGAGGCAAAGCCAAGTCTACTATGCGCTCCAAGGGGGATAAAAACGACAACTCCCACATCACAGTAGTTCAATTTTTTGTTATATCGTGCCAATCAAAAAAGATATAGACTTACGCCCTACTGCTGGAAATAGATACAGTCTGCAAGCTTTCCTGCCAGACATGGCAGTCGCAAGGCTTGCAGGCAGGTGCCATACATGCACGCCAATCCAAAGGTAATATGCAACGCAGTGTATATGAGGTAAATTATATGCAAGTGTACATGAGGTTATTGCAACGCAGTGTATATGAAGCATTGTTTTCATGGACTGGACACGTGGCCGTTCTAGGCCAAAAATCCACACAGTAGACGCGATATCAAATTGCATTGTTTGACTTGTAAATGAAATACCTCTGTGCACATTAGCCAAATTAAGAGTTTTTTTTTAATTAAAAAAAGTGTAAGCAGGTACGTTGTGATGATGGATGCAATCCTTTATGGAATAAAGATTTGCTAGGGTTGTGGGTCTTTATTTTTTTACACGGCATTGCGCTTAAAATGAATCTTTCACAAAGATCGCTTTCAGGTGAGTCGAAAATCGGATTTTTATACAATCCATCAGAAACAGGGAATAGTAAAATTGATATAGGGTATATGTGGCTGGTTATTTTGTAATGCATACTCAGTCATATTTGAAATATGTTTGTTAAAAAAAAAGGTATATTGGCTATTATGGGGATATATGTGGTTGGTTAATTTATAATGTATACATATACTCGGTCATGTTTGAAATATTTTTGTTTAATAAAAAAAAAGGTATAACATTTGAACAAATAGCTAAAAACACTGAATTTCCAACTTTGCCAAAGTGCATGCTTCTATCTTGAAAGGCACAATGTATTCATATAATAATTATCTGCTGTACAGTACAGCAGATAAATGTACCTTTACGCTGGCCAAATCACGATTTACGGTGGCGAGTTTTGTTGCCCCTGCAGGTGAGGGTTGGGAGAACTGGATTTCCCGCCGCCTCACGCTGCTTTTGTAGCCGCGTGGTCTGGACTGGAGACGTGCAGCACGCCCGAGTCTTCAACAGCGGAAGACGTCCAGTAGCCACACAGCAGCAAGCATGCGTCACAGCATAAATGAATGAATTATGAATCTACAAGAGGGCGTCCTAACTTATGACTATAATTTCGCTACAGTATCAATCCATACCGTGAGTGTTACTGAGAACATGCTCTTCTTTTTATTCCTCTTGTAGTCCTGTATCTTGAGTGGCTTTTAGTCTAGTCCAGGGCGAATATGCAATAATGAGCACCATTTTTATCACAATATATTTCCTGATCATGAAATAGTCACCTCTTAAGGTATGGGGCTTGTGTGCATCCGCGTTAGTGAAAGGTTAAACGATGAATTTCAAAAGGAAACGGGAAAAACAATTTGAAAGAGATTATATTGATAAATGAACAACAAAGAAGATAGAGAAACAGTAGGTCTGCATTTATGGAGGTCTGGTAACTCTTTTACTTTCAGTTGTTCTTCAATACTTTAATCAAGATTTTTACAAACGGATATTTACAAACGCGCCCTAGTGATGTATGATATGTTTTCTGTCTTTGTTGCCTTAAATCAAAAAATGTACTCTGAAACATCTTGTTAATTTTCATCAGTTGATATGAACTCATTTAAAACGAAATTTTAACATGACTTATGTTCTCAGTGCTGCACATCGGCCGTGATTTTCATTTTCTTGTGCGACGTCACTGTTCCTGGTATCCAGGTCCACAGCAAGGTATAACTGTAAGACTAGCAAATTCGAATACCCCAAGGTATAACCTTTCCATCAATACATACCTACCAGACACTTGGTTATTTCTGGTAAATAAATGACCCCTGGCTACGACTTCTTCGGACGTTTAGCTTTTCACCAACAAATGAAAATGTACAAGGGCACAAACATGCCGGTCATTTTCTTTCAATTTCTCCAGGATTTTTTTTCTTCATTTTTTTCTATAGTGAGCCCCTAAAATCGTCATAGGCATTACTTTCTGGCCAAGGTAGATTTCTTGGGCACCAAATAAAATAAATAAAATTGCGTTCGTCATGTGTGTATGAGGACGTAGTCTGGTTCCCTGAACTGACAATTCCCCGACGCCCTAACGTCCATATTGTCGGCCAGGTAGCCGCCTACGGGCTAACAATGAAAATGATACACTTAGCCCCTTTTTTAATGCTCGGCTTCGTTTCCAGTTTGGCATTATCATTGGCTTTTCCGCATAGTGCGGAAAAGCTTTTCTTTTTGTTCTATTTTTTTTTCTTTTTTTCTTCCTCTTCTTTTTGTCGGAAAGAATCCCACAGATTTTGTACACGTCTTTTCCGTCCTTCACTTTTGCCATTCATCCTTGTCATACATCCTTCAAAGTTACCATAGGCATAGTCCCTATAACAATGATGTGTTCCAAAGAGTGACGTCACATCAAAGATTTCTAGATTTAATCTTTAAAAATCAATATAAAATCAAACGTATAAAGGTGACCAGTGAACTTGATTTTTGCGGGAATTGCTTGTCAATGAATTATCTAGCGTCTTCATTTTATCTCGTTTGAGTAAAATCACTTGACCCTTCCTTCCGGTCCAAACCGGAAGTGCCTTATAATTTAGAAATGGAAAAAGGTGTGAACTTGCTTCCAATAATGTTAGTCTGTGGCTAGGTTGTACTTCACAAACAAATTCTAGTGACGTCATCAAAAGTTAGGTCATCAGCGGCAGGTTGAAAAATTTTCAAAATGAATAATCAGTTGATATGTGTGGCGGAGTTTGCTGAAATCACTTTACAAGTGATGCATATAATCAGCTTTATGCTAAGAAAAAGTTGAGGGGGAGAAAGATTGATGACGTCACCAGACTGGAAGTTACAATAAAAAGACCTTTTAACATTGAAAAATTGCTGAAAAATCAACCACCACAAATATAATCCAGATTTCTGCTTCTAATAGCGCAGTTAACATAACACTCGAGCTTTCTGTGAATGACGTTACGATGACGTCATCAAGTATCGGATTACAAGCGATCAAAGATTTTTTTGATTTTTTCTTTGAAAATCAATATAAAATCAACTGTGAGAGATCTTATTTAGCTTTTGACGGGAATGGACAGAATAATCCAGCATCTTCATTTTTTGATATTACAGGCAAAATCACTTGACCCTTCCGTCCTGTCCAAACCGGAAGTGCCTTATATTTTTAAATTGGAAAAAGAAGTGAGCTTGCTTTCAACGATGTCAGTCTGTTGGCAGGTGATAACGGGTCTTGTGACGTACTCTTAGAGGTGCACATTTAAAAATATATCTAAAGAACCATAGGCCCGATTCGATTGAAACGTTGTACATGCACAGTCATTGATATGTTATTGATAAAAATCATATTGCGGAAAAGCCCAATGTTCTGTTGCAAACAGACATAGACCTCTAGCTTAAAGCTTTTGCTGTTCCGATCAAATAAAAAAAATCCTTTGCTCATTATATCATACAGTTTGATATTTCTGTAAGAAGTATAGACCTCTAGTTTAAAGCTTTTGCTGTTCCGATCAAACAAAAAAAATCCTGTGCTTCATATATCATACAGTTCGATATTTCTTTAAGAAAGCATTGACTAATGTTAAGCTGGAATCTTCAAAGTTAGGGACCCAAATGGAAGGCGAAGCCGAATGGAGATGACGCCGAGTTTTGGATACCCCTAAGTAACCGTGGTCTGATTCGAAATAGTACGAAGCAGCAAAGCTCGCCCTCGTACAATGCGAGTGCATGTGTTGCTTTGTGTGTTAATGTTCAGTAAAGCGTTCAGTGACAGATGCCAATATTCAACTCTTCACTTCAGTTTTGGATGTGAAGGACACAAGAGCTGTTGTGACAAAAGAAATGACGAGCTGCTCATGAAT